GGGAGGGGGGCGAGTCTGCAGCCGTGGGTACCTCTCCGGTGCCACCCCTTGGGGGTTTGGGGGTGTCTTCCCCTCGGAGCAATGGGAAGGAACCGTGCAGACCCCGCTGCGTGCGGTACAAACAGGAGAAGACCTGGGGACAAATTCCCCCCGGCCTGTCCTGCTCAGGAGGAGAGGACAAACATTGAGCCAGGGCATCACACGGGGCTCCGGATGCTCATCCCCGCTGAAACGGGGCACGGGGGGCAGCGCTGCCGGAGCTCGGAGTGTGCGGGAGCGGTGGGAGCCAGCGGGGTTGCCCTGGAAACAGCTCCGGTGCCCGTGGTTTGTCATGATGAGAGCGATGACACGAGCCGTGACAGCGATGGCAGGAGGAGAAGGAGCAGCGAGAAGCTGAGCCAGTCCGAGCGCTGCAGCCGCTGCAGGGTTGATTCTGGGCACCAACACCCCTGCGGCCACCCCGCTCTCTGCAGGGTCACAGTGAGCGACAAGGGACAGCCCAGCGCACCTGCCCGTGCCGCTCCCCCGCGGCTCCGGGCCAGCTGAACCAGCAGCTCCGGCCGGGGAGAGCAGCCAGGAAAGGAGAAGGTGCTGCCAGGGCTCTGCCGCTGGCACTAGATGCTGCTACAGAGCAACATAATTCTAATTATAGCAACGGTGTCGGTGAGAAGCGCAGTGAGAAAAACACGCACGTCAAAAGGTCGAGAGCTGTGTGATTTGCTGCTGGCAAAACTCACTGAGAGCCACACCGGAATGAAGCACTTTTTAAATGTAATTTGTACTCATCTGGCTCGCTTTAAATTGGCTGGAGGTTCAGGGGGATGATGTGGGCATACAGGGAGTGGAGATTGGTGGTTAAAACTGCCTTTTTACTCCCAAGGCTTTACACTAGTTTTACACAAAACAGCGACATTTGGTGGATCTGTGTTCAAGCTAAATATAGCACAGGAGAAGTCACGTCAGTGCAGCAACACTCGTGGGGAGAGGAGGGAGTCTGGTGGGCAGGCAGACAGTCAAATGTCATCTTCAGCTGGGTTTTTCTAGTGATGCTTCCCTAAATCATTTGATTGTGTGGAGCAGAACTCCAGGGCTGGGGATTTACCGTGAGTAACGTAGAGCCCAACCCACTCCTGTAACTCCTGCTCCGGTTCCTGCTGTCCCCAGAGCAGCCTGGCACTGTCACTGTCACACTGTCACTGTCACTGGAGAGCAGCTGTTGCTCTGTGTGTGTCACCCTGGGGTCCCACGGGGACTTGCTGGGGCAGGAGGTGAAGCAGAGCAGGTGGGATTCAAGTGAGAAAATAGTAATAATAGCAATCTTGGTGCTAAGAGCTGCCCTTTGAGATTGGAGCAAATCCCCACTGAGTGCAAACAGAACAACAGACAGAGACAGTTTCTCCCTCAAAAAGCTGAACAGGTGAGACAAAAGGCAGGGGAGTGAACCCAGCTCCCATCCTTCCAGCTCCTCTCCACCAGCAGCATGAAGGCAGCAGGATGCCCATGGCTTTTGCACAAGCTGGTTTTGTGCAGGGAATGTGTGACTGATGTTCTTACCCCCACTCTGCTCAAAGATCATCTCATTTCCGTGCCCCACAGGCACAGATCTCACCCACAGAGGGTTTGACTAAGCCAGTCCTTTCATAACTGCCTCTGTGTGTGGCACAAAATGACATTTCTGGTCACAACTGTCGGGGAGCATCACCTGTGGGAGGGTTATGGGAAATCCAAACCAGAGAAGAAAATAATCTGGCTAAGTGGAAATGATTCTTGTTCTATCAGTGGGGAGAAGGAGAGGATCAGAGTCTGGGCCCACCTCAAATCATATTCGGTGCTGGAAGTTTCTGTTTCACATCACACAGAGAAATTTGCCCTTTGGGGGTGGATGCACTGGGCAAGGCAGCAGCAGGGAGAAGCAAAGAAGCAGCCTGTCAGATGGGTGCTTAAATTAGAGGCACTATGAATGATGAGTCTGTTCCAGCTGAGCAGAGAGGGATGGAAGGGAAAAGGGGCCCTTGGGAAGGCAGCAAGCTGCAGCTCTGAGGCTGGGCTGAGGGCTTGAGTGGGAAATACCTTGAGAGCACAACCACATCCCCAGGAGTGGGGTTTATTTACAGTTTTCATGCAGCTCCCTGCGTTTCTAAGTCCCAATTCCTTTGGCACAAAAACGCATAAAACAAGCTTGTCCCCCGTGGTGAGTGGCACTGTGCTGCCCTCCTACCACGTGCCTCAGTTTCCCCGCTGTGCGCTGGGTGTGGGTGGGGAATGCACAGCACAAAGCAGGTCCCGGTGAAGCTCCCACAGCGCACACACGAGCCTCAGGCTGCACAATCCAAACTGGGAGAAGGAAAGCTGCCTGCTGCTGCTGGGGGAAGGGGATTAATCAGCAGGAGATGACAGCAGAAGTCCAGCCTTTCATTAATTACAGGAGGGCACGAGCTGATCCAGGGAGCAGCTCCCACACGGCGCTGTGGGGGCTGGTTTATTCTGCAGACATTTTCTCCTCTCCCTGGAGGCACCAGGAGAGTTTGTAGGTGCTGCTTCCAACCACAGCCCCGTGGAGCAGAACTGTGTCACACAACACGAGCCATTCCCCCGGGGAGGAGCTGCAGGCCTGCCAGGAAAATAAACACGTTTGGCACAGCACAATCCAGGCCATTATGGTGTCAATCAGAGGGCTGAGGGTGCAGCCAAAAGGCAGCTCGGATGCAGAGCTCAGACCAAGCCCTTCGCAGTTTGTTCAAAACAGGTACCCCAGAAACACAGACCACCCTCTACCACCCATCCTCTGTGCTGCAGAAATTCCTCTCACAGAGGGTTTGTGAGTATCTGCACAGGAATCCAGTAATTAATGTGGCAGAATGGCTGCAAACCCAGAGCAATTTCCAGCAGAATTAACCATGAGGGGAACTGGCCATTGCCACAGCTGATCTATGGATTTTTTTTTTTTTTTTTTTTTTTTTTTTTTGTGGCTGCTATGGAACTTCATGTTTTTCTTAGAATCTGAGTACATTTCTACGAGGTCTAGCCCAGCCCAGCCACGTCTCCTGACACCAGGAGATAAAATTATCTGCCTTGACTGGACAGTTCCTTCTGGCTGGTAAAGAATCCATATGCATATATGTATAATTAGCATAATGAGAAGCCAGTTTCAGCATGGCCTTGAGGCACTAACTCATTGAACAAATAAGAAACAGACAGTATTAATCCTGGGCTGGTTGGAAATGTATCTTTCTGGAAATATTTGGATAAGTGTTTTTCCTCACCATTTTGGCTTAGGTGAGGTGCTTGATTACCCAACATACATGTCAGGGGTTTAAATTCTGGTTTAGTTATGTAAAGGGGCAACTTCCTCCTGCACCACATCGCTAAGAACAGCCTGGAGAAAATGTAATAAAGACCCTTTGCTGGATTAAGCACAAATCAGCCAACCCAGCTGCCGCTGGGGCTTTGGGGCTGGAGGTATTTCAGGTACCTTATCTATATTATGGGTCCGTGAAAGCTTTTCTAATTAGTCTTCTGGAAGATGAAATGCCTGCAATGACAGTGGCAAGTGCCATTTCCAGCCTGCTCACAGGGCTGAAATGGCTCGTTAAGTCATCTGCAATCAGTGGTGGGGCCCTAAAGCTTTGCATACTTGATTCCCTGCCATACAGCAATTTTCTCATGTGAGGAGAAGCAGGAACAGTCAGGCACCTCTTCCCTATTTTCCCTCTCTCTGCCAAATGAGCTTTTTATTTTTTTTCCTCTTTTTTTTCCTTTCCCCCCCCCCCCATAACTGTTCCCTTAGAAACAGCCTGCTCACCCTTTCACCCTGCTCCTCCTCTCCCCGTGGCCTCTCTGCTGCTCCATCACAGGAAACAGGGACTGAGTGCCCAGCCCTGCTGCAGCACAGGGAGATGGTGCTGGTGGCAGCCCTGCTGTGACAAGGGAGGTGGCACGGGCACCCCTGTGCTGTGACCTCAGCTGCTCACCCCTCCGAACGCCTCCTTCGGCTCCCCAGCACATCCAGGGGGAGGAAATGTTAACCCCAGCTCCAGGCTGAGCTCCCAGCCCCTCCAGAGCATTTCAGCGTGCAATGAAATCATCCTGCTTGCTGGAAAGGCATCAGCTCGTGCTGTCAGCTCCAGCAGCTCCTCGCCAATTTGTTTCACAGAGCTCGGGAGAAATTGGAAAGGGCTGAAGCAACGGAGAGGAACACGAACATCTCAAAAGCAGATTTTCTGTGTTGGAAAAGATTACATGATCCACAGAGACGCGTGACCCAGGGAGAAGGCTCAGAGCACATCTGGGATTGAAATAAACCTGGAGAAGTTCAGTCTGCTCTGAGCTGAGCAGGTTCTGTCTAAACTTGGGTCTCCAAAGCACAGGCTGGAATTTGGGAGATAACTGCTGGGTGAGTTCATGCTGTTTGTCCTGTCAGACCGGGGCTCTTACTGGCAATGCCTGGCACCAGCTCTCTGCTGAGAATGTCCAAGAAATCCTGCCGCACACCAGTCAGGGATAGCGAGCTCTGAGTGCAGGTTTCCTCCTGATTCTGACAAAAGGCATTGGTTTAAATCACAATTCAGGAACATTCCTAACCCTGCAACGTTCTTTTTTTAAAGTGAAAAGGTCTTTACCAAAACCCAAAGTCTTCTCCTCCACAGCAATGTTAAATATCATTTTGATCTTGTTAAATTTCCACCAGGCCTCAGGAAAACACTCACCAAAGGCAAATACAGCCATGCACTGGATAAGTGGCCTTGTGGATGCTTTTTTGTGTGCTACAGCCTCAAGCAGGATGTATTTAGGAAGAGTGGGAATCCAGAAACCTTTTCAGTCTCACCTGCACTTTGCTGCTGCTTCTGAAATGCATTTAGACCCTGCTCTCCAGAGGAACAACCCACACGTTCCCTTCCCAGTTTGCTCCTTCCAGGAACAAAAAATTCAAGGTGGGGCACATTCTGCAAGAACTAATTTTGGTGTGTTTGGCTGCGTGGAGGATCTCCCTGCAGGGATGATCAGTTTCTGACCTCTTTGTAGTTTTTATTCACCATGGAAAAACGTACGAGGCGGATGTGGGGTGGCTTTGGCTTCCTGACACCCCATATTTACTCTGGAGAAAGCAGCTTGGAGGGTTTGTGGGACACAAAGTGCCTGTTGAGGTGACTCTCCTCCTGCCAGGCTGCCAGGACGGGCATTGTGGCACATCTTGGTGAACTCACAGACTTTCTCCACCGAGCCTCCAAACACGGCCCCTCCGTAGCAAAAATACCCGAGCACACACACAGCCCGTGGGGCACAGCAGGGACAAGGAGGGCCTTGCTGTGGCCTTCTGCAAGGGCAGGGGTGATAGAGGAAAGGGGTGATGCCTCAGGTTTGGGTTTTATATTTTTCAGGCTCTGTGCTGCTTTAGTGTGTGGGTCTGGGCTTCCCATTAGGGGATAGTGAGAGCTCTGCACAGAGCAGGGAGAAAAAAGGAATTCTATTCTTTTCAGAAAAAAAAACAATTCAAAAAAATTGAATTCAATTCAATTCAAAAAATTGATTTCTATTCAATTAAAAAAATTGAACTCTATTCAATTCAAAAATTTGAATTCTATTCAATTAAAAAAATTGAATTCTATTAAATTCTCTAGCTGGTCTAGCTTGGTCTAGGGACCAAGGACAAATGATCCAAATCTCAGGCCCCAAGAGCACAAACAACGTGGACTGAAGAGAGAAAAACAAGAAGGATGGGACTGCATGGGCTAAAGCTGGAATTGGACAATGAACTCCAGTATGCAAATGGAGCAGAACTTATAAAAGTGAGAGACCCCATGACTGTTTGTCCATTTTTGGACAATCATCTTCCCACAGAGGAAGGGCATCACCCCAAGGACTGAGTGCCCACTGAGTGCTGCCCCTGCTTTCCCACAGCAAAGGCTGCCACCCCCATGGTGAGGCTCAGGGGTCTGCAGGCACTGTCCAGGACCTCAGCATCAAAGGTCCCTTCCCAGATGATGGGGACCAGCCATGGTGTGACTGTCAGCACATCCTGGCGCCTGGAGAGGGAAACAGACCAGAAATGTTCATGAAATGTGATTGTTCCTGTTGGTTTTGAGGCCAATAAATGGGAAAGAAGCACAAAAAAAAAAGGGAGCTGGAGCAGTGTGTGAATCAGCATTAACTCGCCATGGAGGGTGTTAGCCTGAGATATTTTCTCCCTGCCTCTCTTATTTGAGGTTACAGAGCATGGACATTTCAATTCCTGGGCTGAAATTAAGCACTTAACACATCAGCAAAAACCTGAGGATCTGCTAAAATCTCATTTAAGGACTTTTCTGCTGAGGAGAGTTTAATGACCACTGAACTCTCAGAATGGGAAGCTGTGCCTATTTGCTATCAGCCTGATGCAGATTAAAACACAAGTAATAATAATAATATGAAAATTACTATAAAATATAGCCCATTGCTCTGCTATTAAAACACAGCTTGCAGCATGACAGCTTATTTTTCCAGCATTTATATATAGCTCCAACACATTCAGATATAATTTAAAATGCTGTATGTGAGCCAGCATTCAAATGAGTAACAAAGTTAGAAAAAAAATCCTTAATCTCCTGTGAGGGAAGTGGAAATACTGAATATAAATGCAGCAGAGTCTGATTCTGCCCCTATTACAGCTCTGCAATGCTGTTTCAATTTGCTGCTTTGTTTTCAGTGTTTTATTATACATTTTTGATTCTAAAGGTAGATGTCATTTATGTGGAATTCACCCCAGCCTGCTCACATTCACTCCAGACCAGGAGCTGGAGCCCTCTGCTAATGAAATTTGTCACACCTGTCAGAACTCAGTGCATCCCTCTGGGTGTCCAGAGTTGCCAGGACCCCATTGGGGGGCTCAGAGACCCTGGCACACAGCCCAGAGCACCTGGGGATTTGATTTTGACCCCTGGAGCAAGTTACCAGCTTTGTATGAGGACATGAAAGTCACACAGGTTTGAATGGGGTAATAACAAAATGATCACAGGGTGAAAATGTAGATTTTAGGAGTTTTAGTATGGGTGTTATGGGGACAAGATGGAGGAATCTGAGCATGTCCAGCCTTTCTTCTTCTTCTTGTTCTCCATTTTCTGCAGTGCTGTTGGCACTTTGGGATTGGTTCAGAGTAGAAGTGCACTGTCTAACATAGGTGATAGATATTGGGAATTAAGTGTAAATATGTTATAGGTAGTTTGTAGTATAAAAGGACAACACAAAGAGTGCCTGTGGCTGCCCTGCTGGGCAGAAAGAAAATTTTATAGATAAGAATTAATAAACAACCTCAAGAGCGAAAAGTGAAGAGTGCAGACTCGTTCTTCAGGAACAGAGACACCCTGCACATCTCGGGGCAGCAATGAACAACCAAAACCTGAGAGCATCCAGCACGTGGCCACACCTGCGGGCTGCCAGGTCCCACCTGACACAGCTCCAGGATAAAACAGCACCAGAAGCAAACGGGGGGAGCTGTGGGGAGCAGCAAATCCAGCCAGATCCTCCAAGCCAGATCCAATGCTTGCAGTCTGAGAGGATACAAGAATAACACTTCACTCCTTCCTGCAGCAATGCCTGTGATTGAAAGATTAAATTATACAGGGAGAAGAATTTGGGTTGGGGAAAATGATCTGTCCTGTTTCTGAGTTGATTATCCTCTTTATTGGAGGGGGAAGGAAGCAGGCATGTTCACTTCTCTAAGCTCGGTAAATTTGATTTTAAAGGGCTGCCCTGGGTTTCCCAGTGAGTCATGGTCATCCTCTCAGTGCCAGTCAACCCCTCCAGAAGACACAGAGCATGAAAAGCTTCAAGACTCTCCCCTCATTTAACCCAGTATTTACCAGCTGATTCAGCGCAGAAATTTATTCCAATATGGAAGAAATATTCAGGCTGAGCACATCCTGAATATGTGGGGGAAATAAAATATATATATATATACATATGTGTGTGTGTACCAACAGGGTGTGTTTATTAGCTTGCAAAGGAATGTGGCTGTTGAAGGTGAACTGCTCCAGATAAAAGTGAGGCCAAAGGAGGCTGTAACAACCTGAGCTGCACACAGAGTTTGTCCAAGCCATTTCTTAGTGCTGCTGTCCCAAATCTTCCCTTAAACTCCCTGCTTTGGCTGTGTCTCAGAGATTTGCCTGTGTTTGCAGCAGGTCACACAGAGCACCTGCTTTGTTTTGCCCTGAAACGGGTTCAAATCTCTCCCACAGCTGGCTCCAGCCTCAGCACAGCTCCAGAAGGCATTTCCCACTTACAGATATTACAAATCTGTAATATCTTACATACAGATAAGAGAAGTAATTTTTTTACTTACTGATATTACAGATCTGCCACGTCAAAAAGAGTTCCTGGCCTCGACAGAGTGTGTGTGTGCTGATGTAATAATTGGGAATTAAGAGGAAGTGTGTTAATGAGTGTACAGACACCAAGCCCAGCCTGAGAGCAGCTGCTGGCACTCCCCTGTGGTTGGGCTCTCAGGGAACAAGGTCCTGCCCAGGGTGCCCCAGGACTCTGGAACTGTGAGTGCTGCAAAGCGCCCAAACCAAACCCAGCAGAAAACAAAGTTCAAACAAAGAAACTCACTTTGGCGCCAGCGCTCTTGGCTGCAGATAAAATAATCTGTAAAAAGGGAGAAATATCCATTGAATTATACATGAATATGCCTGGAAGAGCGGAGCAGCAGTTTAAAGGTCAGGAGATAAAAAAGCCTGCGCTTACTGGGGGAAAAGCTGGATTGGCTTCTTTTCTGTATATTGGAGTTTTGTGGAGCTGCAGGGTGGGGTGGGAAGTGAAAGGGATTGTTATGCTTTGCTTAAAATATCAACCAAGTTTGGCTTCAGGACCTGCTGAAGGCATCACCTGCACACACCTGCAGGGCTCCCCAAGCGACAGCTTTGGGACAGAACACACAGCACAACAGGGACAGAGAGGTGCTGGCAGCAATCCCAATCTCTGAGGAAATCAGGCTGGGGTTTAGGGGTCAAAATCCCTGTGGGACTGTCAGCAATAATCATGTTTGTGCTCCATGCCCTGCAAAACTGTCCATGGTCATATTTCAGGCTGAACTACCTGAAATAATCACATTTCCAACAGCATTCAGAGGAATAAGCACCTGCCCAGACACAATGGTTTGGAATAATCAGAAATACTTCCATGAAACATCATTTTTTTTCTATTTGCATGGCTTGGTTTTGTTTTTACAAGCACAGCAGGTCATGGGAAAAGCCACAGCCTGTCATGTCCCAGCCAATGTGGCAGTGGGGAGGTCACTGGGGCCATGGCCCCTGCACTGTGTAAATTCCCTCCTGGGCACCCAGGCTGGCTCAGGTACCAGCTCAGAGGGCATTTCCCAGCAGCAGCTCCCCTTCACCTGCCCAGGTGCTGCCACAGCACAAACACACCCATGGACAGAGCACAGACCCCAGAGGGAGGAACAGGAGCCTGGTGAGAACAACTGGGGGTTATTCCTGCCTGTGCCAGAGCTCCTCCTGTGCCTGCTCATCTCCCCTCTGTGGTTCAGGTGCCTCTGTCTGGTGAGAGGACACTTGGAGCACATTTGTGCATGTGCAGGTGTGGGATTACACCCTGATGAAGAAGCTGCATTAATCTTTCAGTCCTGGGACCACAACAAACAAAACCTCCCTCACCTGAGAGACCCAGAGCTGTCCCAACAGGCCCCAACAGCATTTTGGGGTAGCTTTTTGTTTTGAGAGAGTGACTAATGACAGGTTCATAAATAAAGAACAAGCCCCTTGTTAACCACTGTTTGTGTTGTCAGGGAAGAGCAGGGCTGGAACAATGATCTGTGTTACTCATTAGGCACAGAACAAAATATTCGCAAGATTTCAGGGCAGGGAAGGTAGTAGGGCAGGTAATGCACTTTTCCACTCCCAGCCAGAGCCCTGTGAGAGCAAAGAAATGTTTTAAGATAGGAAATGTTGAAGGAAACCTTCCTAGGATTTTCCAACATCACCTAAGGACCTGGTAAAGATTTTGAGAGGTGACCCTGGCTAACTCCATATCTGCTTTATTAATTAGTGTAGGATCTGCTGTGTTCACATTTTAACACAGTGTCCTGCTGCTGAGGCAAAATGCAGCTGCCCACAAGGTGAAAGTACAGCAAATTGCAGCATCATAAAAATGTGATAATTCCTGATAATTTAATATTTAATATTTTAATACTTAACAGAAATGCCTTATCTCAAATTCCCTTCCATGTTTGAGTTTGCTCCATAAGCCATACTCAGCTGTCAGGATATTCAGTTACAAAATTCTGTGTTTGAGAGCTGTGATGTCTGATAGTTACAGAGCTGGTGACAGTGGAGTGAGTTTGGACTGTGTGGAGAGACAGAGAATCACCTCTGTAAGGCCTGAGCTGAAATGTAACTGGAATATTCTATACCAAGCACTTGCTTGTGAGTCACTACAGTGTTAGCAGCCTGATTTGCACCCAAATGCTCTTTTTTCCTCTTTCCTTTAGGGCCTTCTCCCCCTACCAGTGCTCCTTTATCTATTACACAAATTGCTGTTCTTCCTTAGAGCTCAAAGAGAGGCTTCCCATAACATTTGTATTTTACAGCCTTTATTTTTGTGTTCTGGGAGTTATAGCACAGGATCTACACAGGATGTTTCAGATATGACTGAGCTGGACAGCAAATCCTCACCAGATAACTGCAGCAACAGCAGCCAGGCAGACAAGAGATGCCAGCAGCACCTTCCTGGAAATCACTATCTTCTGGAGGAGGAGGAAGGGCAACTTCTGAATTCCAGCAGCTTTCACCCTGCAAAGAACAAACATAAAGGGAAAAGGGCTGCTCACTCTGAGAGAAATTGATAATTTCTCAGAGGAGGATGAAGTTTCTTGGTGGCTTCTCTTTCAGAAGCGATAAACACAGAAGGCATCAGACTGTAAGAGCCAGGGCACTGAGGAGCATCTGTAAAATATCTGAGCAAGTTCTTCATTCCAGGGAGCTTTAACCCCAGCTCTGGTGCATGAGGAACCTTTCTGATTTCATCCCACTCTCTGTGGATTCCATTTTGTCACCTCAAGCACTGCACCCTTTGCAATTGGATCAAACCACCCCTCCTGTGCTATCAGAGAGTTATCACTGGGCTGATTGACTCACCTTTCACAGTCCAGGAACCGCCTGCAAAGGGGGCACACCCTGCAAAGGTGCCTGAAGGAAAGGCAAACTGAGGTGTGAGACCAGCAAAGGAACATTGCACAATCCTAATGCCCCTTGGGTAAAGGTTAAGCCAAGGAAATTATTTCCTCTACAACAGCCCTGAAAATCAACTTTCCCAAGCCCAGCAGTCTTAAAATCACTCCTGCCTGTTCCTGCTTTAATTTCTTTGGCTGGAAGTAGACAAGTGGCAAAAAGTTCTTTCATTTGCTTTACTGTGTCACACAGAAATCCTCTCTGGTGCTTCTCCCTCATCTTCCTTTGAGAGAATCTAATTTGCTTTCACCAGGAAGCATCACAAAATCCTACTTAAAAATAATGACTAACTATATATATATTTATACACATATATGTGTGTATGTGTGTGCATCTATATAAATATATATCTTAAGGCCTTCCACCACTTAAAGCCTTCATGGATTCACGCTGAGCAGCTCTGGATTCTTGCCTAAAAATGCTGCAGATCCCCAAACACAGAAAGAAGTACAAGCAGCCTTCCCCCTCAGGCAGTTGTTCTGTGTTTTGACCAGCTTTATCTCATTCCTGTGCTAGTTGTGTCATGAGAGCTGCTGTGCTGACACCAGGATTTTTCAGTGCCACGTTTCTTACCTTGTGCTTGATGCTTCCAGCACATGCAAAGCAGATAAATGTGCAGAGGGGGGTTCAAACTGTTGTTTTTCAGGCATTATTTGGGAGATGGCTGCAGGAAAGCCCTTCTCATCAGCAGGCTTCCAAATTTCCAGCCAGGATCTCTCTTGCTGCAGTATCTCACTTGCTGCATCTCCCTTTCCATTCCTCAGGGCTCTGACGTTTCCTTCCCTCTTCTCTCCTGTGACCTCCTTCAATCTTTCTTTGTAATTGTCTAACTACAAGATCTGGGATTCTTTCTGTCAGTTCTGACTGGGCTCTCTCTAATCAGCCCATTCTCACGAAATTGGTGCCAAAGCACCCCAAATTCCCCTGCTGAGCCCTCAGCAGTGGAGTAAAGCTGGATTGCCCCCCAAAACTGAGAATCTGTCACAGTTCACACATCCCACAGGACATCTGCCTGCTTTGCAGGACCTCAGCACTGATGCAATCCATGTGCTTTCTGTGGAACCTCTCCCAGCCAGGTCTGGGGCACATAAAACCTTGTACTTCATGGAAACAAACTCAATTTCCAGGCTATTTGTTTCTCTAAAACATCAAGCCCTGAGTGAATCCTGTTTTCCTTGGGGTTTGCAGCCCCTCCCAGCTTGATGCCACTTTGCAATTGCATAAATATCCTCTCAGCATTTCCACCCAAAGCATAAAGGAATGCACAAACAATCCCTTTGCAGAATCTCCTGGGGATTCCCATTTTCTGGACCTGACCCATGCTCTTATCTCCATGGCCCATAGAGGCTGAGAGCACAGAATTTGGGTGCTGGGGAAGGTCAGAGGATCAAGAACAGAGAGAAGAAAGGGGACTGATAGTTGTCCTCAAATTGGGCAGTAAAATTAACACAGAATTTAAAAAAATGTGGATGTTTGGTTATTTTAGTTTCAGCTGTTGTAATGGGCATAGAGCACTTCCATGTGTCCTTTTACAGAGTAAACATCTAATCCCTCAGGAGGAGAAATACACATATTTTGAAATATTACATCATTAGGAGCACAGCTGATGCATTCCCCTCTTATTTTCAGTTTCTGTGGTACAAACCTGCCAGAGCACTAGAGCCAGCTGGGATTGAAACATCCTTTTCATCTAAAGCCATCTCACTGAGGTTTACCTCAACTGATTTACAGTTTACCATGAATATAAACAGAAATTAAATAGATGTGGTTGCAGCTGATGAAAGAATCTCCAAACAGAAATCACAGCTAAAGCATTTTTAATAGTTACTCAGGTTCCTCGAATTTGTTCAGAGAGTTTTTTAAAAGGGATATGGCTGAAAGTAGCTCTGTTACTCCCAAATGAACTTGCTTGACCTCCCAGAACAAAGCATTACTTTATCTTCAAGCCCTGCTTGGAAGGCAATCTGGACAGCTGATAAATACCTCACTTGTGGAGCGTTCCATGGAAAATATTCTTTGCAGAGCAACTATTTCAGATTTCCAAACGTGGATTTCAGATTTCTCCAACTGAAGTGGCAAACTGTGAGTGCAGGGCTGTTCAGAAAGTGAAGAAAGAGAAGATACCCATGGGGAGAGCTCCATCTGTGCCTGGGGAGAGCTTCCCTTGCTGGACAGGCTGCAGGAACACAAATGTGTTCAGTCACACCTGAGGCTTGAACACGAATTCAGCACAGATCACTGCAGAGTCTCAGATTGCAGCTGCACCAGGGAGTTACCTGGGCTCTGGCAGGGATCCAGCAGGGCAGCACTGCACAGCACAGCCTGCATTTCCCTCACAGCACATCCATCAGCTTTAGCCATGAGGCAAAAAAGAGCTTCTTCCAAAGAGCCAGATCGAGAGAATTCAATTGGACTCAATTAATAACATCCCTGGGCTCAGTACAAATCATCAGTTCACACCGGCCAATATCAGGAGGGCACCAGCAAGGTTTGACTGATCTCAGGGGCAGAGTTGCTTTATTTTGCAGATATTTTGTTCCCACCAATCTTCCCCAGGCTGAAATGCCAGCAGCCAAGCTGTACCTTCCCTCCTGAGCTGGGCAAACAGCTGCCCAAGTTCACATTTGTATTTCTGTATAAACAACAATAAAGGACAAAATTGGTAATGACCAAATACAATTTTGCACTGGTGAACTGCACAGAGAAGAAACCCTTGCAGGCACCTGTGGTTGCCAGAAATTTTTTTTTTTAACCTAATTTTTTATTATTGCCAAAGACAGACTTGGAGCCAATCCCTCTACCATCAGGATCAGTGTGTCCTGTGGATGATCCAAAAAGATCAGTTAGCTCAAAAATAGTAAATCCATTAGCTTCACAATAATAAATCCATGCATGTGTACATGTGTGTTTATGTCTATATTGACCAAATGCTGATATAACATAACTTATAAATGAACAGCACTGCCTAAAATTGGAAATTATTTCCAGTTTTCTTGTGGTGAGGAGGATAAATGAATCCAAGATGCACTCTTCTTTTCAAAGGTATTTGCATAAAAGCAAAGGTTTTACTCTCTTTGTGTTGAGATGAATTTGATCATTTTGCCTTTTTGTTTCCTCTTTCCCATTCCCATGATGCAAAGACACTGTGCTGCCCATCAGAGGAAGTGACAACAACTGACATTTCCCCTTTAGAAAAATAATAATTGCTATCAGAAATCAGCCAGGTGTTTCTTTAGGATAGAAAACTTTATTAACAAACATACAACTGTTTTTTTAGTACAATGAGGCTGGGAAGCTGTGGCCTGGGACAGTGACAGACCCTGGAGCCCCAGTACCAGGAGAGCTGCCTTGCTCTCAGTTTAACCCAGCTTTTTTCAAGTCCTCTGGCAGAACTCGGCCCTTTTTCCGGGCCCTGGCTTTTTTCTTCTCTATCCTCTCCTTCTTCTTCTTCTGGATGTTCTTCTTGCGCTTGTCCTGCCGCTGCTGCATCTTCTCCACCACCCTCACAGTCCGTTCCTGCCACTGCCTCTTGCGCTGCGCTCGCCGCTTCTCCTTGCGCTTCAGGGCCTCCTTCAGACGCTCCTCATCGTCACGGATCTTCACCCCTTCTGCCTTATACAGGGCATTTGTCCATTTCATCTTGGTCTCCAGCTCCTGAGCTTTCTTCTCGTCCTTCTCCTTGAGCTCCTCCAGTTTATTCTTCCTGGTCTCCAGCCTGCTCAGCAGCTGCTTGTAGTTCTTGCCTGTCAGAGGAGTGATATTGCCTTTCACTGCTTTCCTCTTCTCTTTCTTCTTCTGGACCTTGTTTAACTCATTCTCTTCATGAACTTTAACCCTGTTGAAGACAATGTCAGCTTTGCTCTCCTCCTTTTTGTTCTCTGGCTCTGCCGGTACCTCCTCAGTCTCTTTCTTCTCCATTTTTGCCTTCATCTTCAACTCCTTTCGCCGGCGTTTCTTTCTCTCTCTCTCATACTTCCTTCGCTGCCTCTTCTCCAGCACTGCAGGGGTTAACTCCTTGGCATTATCCTAAGGAGGAGGATGGACATGAATGAGAAGCCTTAAAGGGTTAAAGGAGAAGTAAAAGTGGGCTGTGCCCCAGTTCCTGAGTTCAAACTCCTCCTCAGAAGTACCACCTGTGATGTGAAGCTGTGACTGAGCAGTTAGAGACACTAAACACAGTAACAACATTTCAAACCCCAACAGCCTGTAGCTGCTCCCTTGCAGGCTCTCACTACTTTGCTTTTTCCTAAAAATCACTAAAGGTACGTTCTCTTTGAAGCTGGTCACATCTTTTCTCACAGGTTTCTCCACAGAACACACACAGGTCACCTGGCAATCCCTACAGGTAATTCCTCATGAGCTGGAATCAGCTCAAACCCTGTGGGATCCTGTCCCCACATGCCCTGGGAGGCTGGGGAGGATTTCAGGTGCATACACACATGGATACACATCCAGAGTTCCCCATACCTGTCCAGAAGCCTTTTTAATCTTCTCATGGAGTCTCTGACGCAACAGACTGAGTGCAGAAACAGAAGGGGAACTCAGTTCACTTTTACTTCCTGAAAATGAGAGGGAGAAAATAAAAATACTTAAAAAGCAGCACCAGCTAAACAGTAGCACTTTCTCTGGCTATGGGAAAAACTCTGGGAACTCTTCAGATGCTGTGAATGGAACGGAAAATCCAAACAAACCCAGAGTTTCTATTTCATTGGTTTCTTTAGAATTTCCCCTTTCATCATTCAGCTCTGCCAGCAGTGGCCTGGCATGCCCTGGGGCTGCCTGGCAAGCCAAAGACAAGTACCAAGCTTGTGGAACAGAGAGGCTCAGGACATCTTTTCGCTGTGATCTGGCTTTTCATTGTCATAAAGGAAAGCTGAGCTGGCAGGACAGGGATTGCATCCACGTGTAATTCCCTAAGTTACTCACATGCACAAAACCTCTGCAGTTCGGTTAAACACCGTTTCCAGAGAGCCACCCAGTGGTGATGGCACAAATTGCTGTCCATAGGCAAAAGCTTCTGGGGCACATGAAATAAGCAAAGAGGTTCCCAATTTAGGCTTTCCAAACCAGAGTGGTGTGAAACAAGAAAAGCAGCCAGCTCAGCCCAGGCCATGGCAAAGCTGAAATTCTTACCTGTAGCCAAACTCTCCTTTCTGTTCTGTGTGCCACCTTGTGGTGATGATTTGCTGGCTTGAGGGGCTGCTTTCTGTATTGGAGTGGGTTTACTGGTGTTAGAAGCATCCTGTTTGGCTGAAGGAGCATTCTTCTTCTCAGTTTGCTTCCTGGGCTTCTTTTTCTTCTGTTTTTTCACCTGTCTGCCATCCTCGGGCTGGCCTGGCTTAGACACTAGAAAGCAAAAACAAATTACACAAAATAGGACAATGTCACATTTCCACTCATAACATTCAGTTATTACCGAACATTAATGTTCCAGCATTGCAATGGCATAGCTAAATATTCAAGAATTATACGTTTTAGGATTTATTTAATTAGATCAAACATCCCCAGCTCTCCACATCCATCACCGCAGTGAATGAAGACCATTGATTTCCAGGGCTCCCAGTGCACAACGTGTTCGGGAGTTCCGTGCTTGAACAGATTGGGTTTTTTATTAGAAACCGGCACAATCCCGGGCCAAGCCCCCCGTGGGGGCACGGCTGTCGCGCCCAGCCTCCCACAAACCAGCCGGAGAGGACAGAACCGAAGCGTTGCAGTTCCAGTACCAAATTTCCTCTTCCGCGACTCCGGGGCGTGCTGCACGCCGGCCCTCCTGGCCAAGCCCTGCAGGTAGGAGTCCTGGGCGGTCAGGCTGGCCATTGCCGCCCCGGGTCCCCGAGCTGCCCGGGACAGCGTGGGGACAGCGTGGGGACACGGTGCTCTCCTCGTGGAGCCCCCGGCAAGCAGGAAGTGATGGAGGGAGCGCGCCGGCCGGGAAGTGACGGCAGCGCCGGGCGCACGGAGCGGCCGCGCCGGAGCCGCCCCCGCCGGGGCTCGGCACGGACCGACGGCGGCCGTCTGTCACACCGGGATGCTCCGGGCTGTCCTGAAGGGCTGCCACCTGTTGTATTGCACTAAAACGGATCTTACAGCGACCCCCGTGCCTTCCAGACACCTCCCCAGAGCCCCGCAGGCAGCCCCCGATTCGCCTCCTCCGCACTTCCCAAACCTTTCTTTGCCAAACCTCCCTTTATTGGAATACAAAACGCTGCACCGGGGTGAGGTCCCCAAAGCACGCGCGAGGTCCCTCCCCTGCAGGGAGCTCGTCCCCTCCTCTCGCATGTGCACGCTCATATCGTGACATTTTCATAAAGCCTCGTGGCTGAAAACACACGCCTTAAAAATTATACAAAACAGGCAGTTTTATTAAATCACCTAGTTACAAAAATAAATGGAATGGAAGAAAAAGAAACAAAAAAAAATAATAGCGAAAATTCACATCCTAAGAAATGAGACGTTACAGCAGAAAGCTGGGGAAGCTCAGCTCAGTTGTTGGAATGCCCTGGTGGCTCTGTGGTGCCGTGACACGGAGCTGTGGTGACACTGTTCAGGTCAGTGGCATCTCCCTTTCGGCTGCACAGCTCGAGCCAAGGCAGAGCCGCCACCACCACAGGAAAGGACAGGAGATGTGCTGAGCTGCTGAACAGCTGCAGACCAAGCACCAAATGTGTTTCTTTGGAAGGAAACTGAGAGTAACCGAGTATTCCTCACTGCTCTCAAGATTTTGTCATTAGACAAAACCAAAAGCCAGCATAAACAGTGGCTCCATGTTAGCTCAGACGACATCAACAGGAATTTCTGTGTAAACACTGAGGAAGGAATCGACTGACTAAAGCATGACACTGCTTCTCTTTGTGGCTTTGAGCAAGTGGTGTCATTGATCCCTCAGTCTGATCCCTGCCTTCTTCCTCTAGGGGGGAACATTGTCCTTCCATAAGGGTCTCCTGGGATCTTCCTTCCAAATCAAGAGTTCAAGTTTGTAAAGCATTTTGACAGCGAAGACTGTTGTGTAAAAATACAATAAGACTCTTTACAGTAGACCAGAGGTTGTCAGATGCTATCCTGAGAGAGCTTTAAAGCAGCCAGAATGTCAATAACCTTGGGAAGCAGAGTAGAAACCCCAACACACTCACTGCCCCCACATTTGGCTCAAGTTTATCCCAAAGAAATTCAACTCCCAACACTCACATGGAAACAAACTTCTAAGACTTCTAATGAACTCTACACATAACTATCACATTAAAGCAAACCCGACTCTAATTTGTTCTAATGAGATTCACTTTGTGTCTACACATCTCTATCTCTTATGGACAGCAACACTCCTGGCAAGGTCCTGGCGTGGAGGAAGCACTGCAGCCATGCAGGGAGTGCCAGCACAGCTCCAGTGCCTCCTCCCGGCAGCAGGAGCCGCTTGCTCAGCTCAGCACAGCAGGAGGAAGACTTCCAGCAGCGCGGGGCCATCCCCGGGTGAGCCGCGGATCCTGTTCAGGAATGCTCGGCGGGGCCATCCCCGGTGAACCGCGGCCGGCAGCAGCGGATCCTGTTCGGGAATGCTCGGCGGGGCCATCCCGGGTGAACCGCGGATCCTCCTCAGGGATGCTCGGCGGGGCCATCCCCGGTGAACCGCGGCCGGCAGCAGCGGATCCTGTTCGGGAATGCTCGGCGGGGCCATCCCGGGTGAACCGCGGATCCTCCTCAGGGATGCTCGGCGGGGCCATCCCCGGTGAACCGCGGCCGGCAGCAGCGGATCCTGTTCGGGAATGCTCGGCGGGGCCATCCCCGGTGAGCCGCGGCCGGCAGCAGCGGATCCTGTTCGGGAATGCTCGGCGGGGCCATCCCCGGTGAACCGCGGCCGGCAGCAGCGGATCCTGTTCGGGAATGCTCGGCGGGGCCATCCCGGGTGAACCGCGGATCCTCCTCAGGGATGCTCGGCGGGGCCATCCCCGGTGAACCGCGGCCGGCAGCAGCGGATCCTGTTCGGGAATGCTCGGCGGGGCCATCCCCGGTGAACCGCGGCCGGCAGCAGCGGATCCTCCTCAGGGATGCTCGGCGGGGCCCGCCCCGTGCCCGTTGACGTGCGGGTGCGAAGGGGTGGAACTCTGCGAGGTGACCACGCTCTGCTCGGCTGTGGCGGCTGCCAGAGGCATCGAGAGGCTCTCGGGGGACAGCGTGGCCAAGTCTTGTCTCCAGTAGGCTTCGCACAGTGGGAGATCATTGCTGTCACACAGACTGTAGCTTTCCAGAACAAACAACCCCAGTGAGGAGAGAGCAGGTGTGGTGACAGAGGAGGGGAGGGATGGAAAGGGTGGAGGGAGCAAGACAGAAGCAAAGCATTAAGAAAATGGCAAAAAAAATGCTGGATGTAAGGTCTGTGTTCATGAAATCATCCAAAGTCGTGTGACATTGGCTTTCCCTAAGACATCCCCCTAAGGGCTGGTCCTAAAATCTCTTGGGCCTGGTGAAGATTGGGACAATTTTAGAGAAGAACTGTGGCTACAAAATAATTCTAATTCAAATTCAATTCTAATTCAATTCTCAGACACTCCTAGTCTCTGAAAAGATCTGAGCTGAAGTCCTGGCACCCCCAAATGTACAATTTCTGCTACTGATGAGTGAGACATGGACCTTACCCACAATTATTTTACTTGGAATTAGACTGCAACCTATGTGAGGAAAAAATATAAATCCTGCTTTAAATTTTACTTCAGCAAAAAAACCCTGCCACAATTGTTTTGGGGCCTGTCCCTATCACAATAAAGAAAACCCTATTTGCACCCCTGCCCTTTCAAGAAAGTGCTCCACAGGTTTGGATCTTCCATTGAAGCTTTCCAGTTTGATTATAAAATACTGACAGCTCCTGCCTTTTCCCAAAGAGCCTGAGCTAACAGTGCTTCTAAAAGCAGCTGGCTGGACTCCAACATTGGATGGACCAGCAGTGTTGGAAAATAAGGTTTTTAAACAACTGGTTAATTCTTGCCCATACTCCGAGGAAAACAAAATGTGGAAGGGCCAAAACTAAAAAGAAACATGGAAGGAACTGGAACAAAACCAACACAAATCCCAAAGAGAAGAGCTGCACACACAAGAGACACCCAAGACAAAGTGAGTGCTGGAGCAGAAAGCATTCAGAGAAAAACAAACCCAGGGGGTCGAGTGATTTTGTTGTTGCAGCTTTATTTACATTTGTAATGTATGGACTGATGCTTAGGGAAATATTTTAAGTATAGAAATATGAGACAGTTCATATTGCACAAACATGAAACATGTGAGATTTAACCCCACACTGAGGACAGCTCCTGTGATCTCAGAGGAGGGAGCAATGGAACACAAATGCAGCTCTGGGGGTTAGGATGAGAGAGGGCAACCTGGACTTGCAGTCACTTTGGGGCACAAGCACACAAAGCACCAGGGGCAAGCTGAGCTCTTTCCTGGCAGCCTCACCCAGCTGGTTTTGCAGGAGTGGGAAGGGAGTGGGCACAGGTTTTGTATCTGGGGCTTCTGTAGAATCCCTTGGAAGATCAGTCCCCAACACTGGAGCTGGGCTCCAGTGTGGAGAGCCTGGTTCAAACATGGCTTAAAGAAAGAGGCCATGAAAGTGTACTGCTGATGGAAAAGTAAAAGGCAGCTGTAAAGCAGCAGTTCCCAGGCTTGATTTTGTAAATAACTAGGTTCTCAGGCACATTTTTTATAAACAGCAGGATTCTCAGACAATCTTCTCATAACAGGTAAACATTCTGTCCTTGGCTGGTCTGGGAACAGATATGAAAGTTTTGAGAACTTTTCATATCACGGTGAGAAGACAAATCTTGGTTTCAATAAACAAACCACAGGTATTGTAAACAAAAGGAGGGGTTAGAGTTTTCTCTGTAGCCCATCGTGAGCTCAAATTTTGCAATATGCATGAACTTAATTAACACTGTTATAAAAGGTGATTGATTGGTTCAATAAATCGGAGTCGATGCTGATCAACAAAGATGGGTCGTCTCCCTTCGCCTTCAACACTCCAGGACTGAACCACAACTACAATTCCTGATCTGTCACAGACCTCAGGCCACGATTTCCCAGGAGAACCTGACCACAGCATCCACAGCTCATGGCAGGGAGCTGCTAACCATGTTCCAGCTGTGTCAGAAGTGTGACTGCTTCTCCTGCTGCCCCAGTTAGAACAGGTGCAGAGCCCAAGCTCCACTCTCAGCTAACACTGCTCAGAAGTCAGGCTCAGTGAGCAGCTCTGCACAGCCCAGCTGCTCTGCCCTGGGAGGGCTCCTCAGGGCGTGGAAGGGACTTCACTACTCCCCTGAGGCACCCAGCCAGTCTGAGGGCAGAGGGACAGCTCTAGAAAATGACTTGATCACAGGGCAGGAAAACAAAGATTCCTTCAGGACAATCTTCTTGGGTCTAGTTTCAAAAGGCCCATGTGCACATAAAAAGCCTGGCAAACACCTGACCCTACAACTGACCAGGCATCCCAGGACAGCAAGGAACTCCCCTTGGGGGCAAACAGGCTGTTGTGCTGACAGCCACTGAAACATGGCTGTGACATAACAGAAACCCTTCCCCCCACATTAGACAAGATTTCATTAAAAATATTGTAGTATTCTAATTATAAAAGGACTTTGAATAATCACTGTTTCTGTATTTACACAGACACGATTTCTTTGGTGCAGAAAAAGACAGGAAAGAGCACAGGAAGGGAGGAAGCAAATGACCAAGTGCTACATGATAACAAAGTGTCAGATCACAGCTCTGCAGAGCTGCCAGGTTTCCTCACCTCACGACCCATAAGAAAGAGCAGGAAGGCAAATCCACCTGATGTACACCAACATTTGTGTTTCCATGTTAGTTCTGCCAGCAAGGGTTGCTTTATGTGGCACCTGGGGCCAGGCAGGTGAACAGACCATGCCAGCATGGCCAGAACCCCTCAGTGCAAAAGTGAGAGTGACCAGCACACAGTGGTGGCAGTTTGGGGACAGCTGGCACATGTGGGGCACTCTCATCCCACACCACACCCCTCTGGATTAGCTCACTGCTATGGCATGGACCTATCAGCACCCACACAGGTGCTCGGGTTTGTGATCATCACAACCTCCTCAAAAAACTGAATACAGTTTGAAAAATAACTCTAAGTTTTTATCTCTAAGCTGTGTCATATTATTATCTTTTTACTCTTAAAATACATATATTACTCATAAACAATGGCCTTACTCTCAAAGATATTGAGCATTTAGTTGACTTAGCTGGGGTTATAGGCATTCAGCATTCTTAGAAAAAATGGAAAAGGCAAACATAGGAAACCTGGTTAGTAAAATTTTAAGTAAGATTTTTTAAAGGTAAGTGTTTGTTTAAAATTCCTAGAATTATTGCACTGACTTCACTTAGCTTGGAAAGTGCAGCCAAAATAACCAGGTTTACATTTGTTTTCTTCTGCTTTCATTTACTGCATCATTAACTAGAAGTGCTGGAGTGCATGACAAAAAAAATAAAGTGTCTGAATTCTCTAAAATCTGTTTGCTAAATAAGAAGCTTTTAAAAATATTAAAAATCCCACAAACAAACCAGTAAGAAGTCATTCCTTAGAAAATCCTATCACAATACTTCATAATTCAATGAAACTGAGCAAGACTTTTTGCTCCTTGCAAATGTTGCCCCCAGCAGGACTGGAGGCAGCTGGGGGCAGTGGGCTGGGAAGGAAAAGGCACAATGTGTGACCAGGTCACTTGTGAAAGGACTCACCACCAAAGTGAGGTGACACCAGCTGAAATCAGGACGCAGCTCAGCAGGGAGAGAGCCAGAGGCTCCTTCAGAGGGATTCCCCCAAGGAAATTCATCTTCTTTTCTAATGATTACAACAGAAGCCTAAGGAAATTACCTATCAAACCTCCTTCACCAGGATATTTAAACCCTGGAGGCTATCTACAAGGAAAAGGCTTTACTTGAAGAAAAAGAGTTTGACCTAATTAAAAGAAGGACTAAAAATTTTTGGGGAACATTCTCAACACCTATACTCTTAAGGGCTATTTGATGGTCTGGACTAAGTACCCCAAAAAGGCCTGGAGTTGTAAGGCAGAGTCCACTGCCCTATTTGTACCTGGAAGAGTAATATTCTTCTTCTAGCTCGTACAGGTCAATGGAGATCTCATCCCTCAGGGCAATCAGCTTCTTGTCACACTCCTCCTGCAGGCTCCTGAGCTGCTGGTTGCGCTGGTTGATGGCCTCGTTCACAGAGGGGAAATCGTTGAGGATCAGGAACTGCTTCAGGTCAGACACGAGTTTCATCAGGGACTCGCCAGCTCGGACCTTGCAGCAGCGAGAAAAATACACATCAGAACAGATCAGAACACACATCACAACTTTGCTCCAGTTCCAAGATCTCCCAAGCTGCTCCTTCAGCCCAAACTCCCACAGTGTGAGAATTCTGACAGAGTTCTGACCCAGCATGAAGTTACTCTCCTGGCAGCCGTCCTTGGGAGTGTTATAAAGACCCAAAAATGAACCCAACAGCCCCTGCAGGATGTGCTGCCCACAGGTCTGACCAGTACCGTGCTACTCACGATATTTGCAGCTCTGACGTGCATCTCGTAGTTATCTTGTTCACCCTGGGTTGCTCGAGACACTTGAGTTTCATCCTCGATCTAAAGAGAAAAGTACACAAATCTACCTCTACATACTTAAAATTCAAATAGATAATTACTATGTTATAAAGTACGATATATGGGTATATATACATGAATATGCATGTGGATTTCCTATAGATGTGGATGTGTATGTGAATTTCCTATAGATGTGGAAATGCATGTGAATCTCCTATAGATGTGAAATGAGATCACACATTACGTATACGAAATTTACATCCGTATGTGAATTACAGTTCAATTCACACAGTGTCCAAGGCCAGGTTAAACAGGGCTTGGAACAACCTGCAAAGGACCTGAAGGCTTCTCTGCCCATTGTAGGGAGTGGAACGAGACAATCTTTAAGGTCCCTTTAAAGCCTTTAACATTCGGGGATTCTACGAAAGGTTCTCCCCTCACAGCCCCTTCTACCTCGCGTACCCCCGCCCTCCTCCGCTTAGCACCCGGGGGGCTCAGGCCCACCTTGGCCGTCTTGATGATCTCGGTGAAGTTGTCCATGATGGACTTGACATCGTCCTTGAGGCGTTTGTTGTAGGACTGCAGCAGGGTCTCCTTGCTCTGCGGCAGCACCCGGGGCTGCGCCATGGCCGCGCCCTCCCCTCACGGCCCCGGCCCGGCTCCGCCCTTCCGCACTCTCGCGAGATCTCGCGCGCCGTAGATATCTCCCGGCATGCCTCGCTCCGCCTTTCTCTTCCTCCGCCCAAGATGGTGAGTGATGGCGGCGGCACGGGGGGTCGGGGCCATCCGTCGCCATCGGGGGTCATCCGCCGCTGGTGATGGGTCGTAGTAGCGTCGTGAGGGTGCTCGGCTGGCGGGGGAGGCGGTGGAGCGGCGTTTCGCGCCCGGTTTGCGGTGATGAAAGGCCGCGGATGGGCCTGGCAGCCCGGGCCGGGAGCCTGCGGCTGCTGCGGGCTCGGGCAGCCCGGCCGGGCCTCGGGGCCTTCCCGGAGTAGGTCGGGTCCCGGTGATCACTAAAGTGTGGGGATATCTCGGCTGCTCTCGGGGAAGCGATCATCACGCGCGCTTTAATCCTATCCCTCTCAGCGTGGTTTATAAACCTTGTAAGTGTAAAGCACAGGATTTCCTCTTTCTGGGAGAGCATGGGAGGCCGCCAGCCTGGTGAAAACAAATGCATTTCTAGGGTGGGTTGGTAATTTCCAAGCACACAAGTTTTGGAGGCAAAAGAAGACAGAGTGTGTTTCTTTCTTGCAGCCGAAAGGAAAGAAGGCCAAGGGCAAGAAGGTGGCACCGGCCCCTGCTGTAGTCAAGAAGCAGGAGGCCAAGAAGGTGGTCAACCCCCTCTTTGAGAAGAGGCCCAAGAACTTTGGCATCGGTGAGTAAGTGGATATTTGGGATAGTTCCTTCCCTGGCTTTTTTCTTGTTCATTGAACAGATGAAGTTACAAAACAATAAAAACCACTGCAGACTTTGTGCAGTGCTGTTTTTGTACAAGGCGCAGATGATGTGAAAGAATATTTGCTATCTGAGTGGTCGTGCTGACACATTACCACCAAGATCACTGATGCTCCTGTGCCTTTGCCGTGCTGCTGCTCTGGGTTTGGGGCAGCCCTGAGCTAAAGGCTGTGTTTTTTTAGGACAGGATATCCAGCCCAAGCGTGACCTCACCCGGTTTGTGAAATGGCCCCGCTACATTCGGCTGCAGCGCCAGAGGTCCATCCTCTACAAACGCCTCAAGGTTCCTCCTGCCATCAACCAGTTCACCCAGGCCTTGGACCGCCAGACAGGTGAGGATGTGCCCCACAAGGCTCTCTTGGCTTGAGTTGTAAATGGGATGTGCAAAGAAACCAAAGTGAGCCTTAACAAAGGTAAACTGGGCTGTGTCTGTGGAAGTGTTCTAGGGAGGCTTTAATAGCAACCAGAGTGGTGTCAAAATCAGTTTGCTGGTTTAACTCTTGAATTGCTGCTGTGTACCCTGAAAAGGGATTTAGGAAATACCAAAGCTCTATTTACTGACCCAACCCTGCATTACATCTAAACTGTGATTCCATTCTTCCAGCTTGATGTAGAACTACCCAGGGTGGAATAAACAGATTGCTTGAGACATCTGTGGGGAGTGCAGGTTTTGGGGGAAAACTGGCACTGAGGGAAGAAGGGATTTGGGGGTAAAACTTGGGACTTGTGTAGCATAATTCCTCCTCATAGATGCTCCTTGTTTTAAAAGAGCCATGCACCACCTCTAACCATAATTGCTGTGGCATTTCCTTATCCAGTCAAGGAGCTCTCAGTGCCATCAGAGCTGCATGCAAACAGGGGCTCTCAGGGTGCTCTTCTCTTGGGCTGTGCAGATGATGATCACTTTTTGCTGTGAAAAAAAATGTGATGCCAACCACCAAGATCGCTGATGCACTGCAGTGTTTTTTAAAAAGAACGCTTAGATTTTCAGGTCATGCAACTAAGTAGTAGGTGTTCTCTTCCAGCCACACAGCTGCTGAAGCTGGCACACAAATATAGGCCTGAAAATAAGCAGGAGAAGAAGCAGAGGCTGCTGGCTCGGGCTGAGCAGAAAGCTGCAGGAAAGGGAGATGCTCCAACCAAGCGGCCGCCCGTCCTCCGAGCAGGTAACTTTGTACCTGAGCTGGGGGAACATGGCAGTGTGGCACTTGGGGAGAGGGAAAACTGATGGACAGTTGGTTCTTCAGCCAGCCTTGGACAAGCTATGGCAATGATGTTATGAATTTCTTCACCTGAGCTCAAAGTGAAGAGCAAAATAGACGAGCTTTTTAACCCTGAGCTTTAGCAAATTGTCCATGAAATGTCTTTGTGCCACTGATGGTTTTGCAAAGTTTTTGTAACTTTCATGGTCATGCTGTGCTGTGGAATCAGAGTTAGCTTGTAAGAAAGCTCTGGAAATGGACTGAGAGGAATCAAACTTACCTAGAACTTGTTTTTCAGGTATCAATACTGTCACAACTCTGGTGGAGAACAAGAAAGCTCAGCTTGTCGTTATTGCCCACGATGTAGACCCCATTGAGGTGAGCATTTTACAGGCTGCCTGTGTAACTGGGGTTAGAAATGCTTTTAAGGCAAATACGGGTTTTTGGACAAATTGCATGAAAGAGAATGCACCAAAAAAAGAAATGCACATTTGCCTGAACTGGATGTTTGTGCTCGTCCTGCTTGGACAGTCAGGCTGGGCCCTTGCAATGATGTTTTGAATTTCTTCACCTGAAGCAGCAGTGAAGAGCAAAACGAGCTTTTTAACACTGAGCACTTGGCACAGCCCAGGCTGACAGGCAGCACAAAGGGCTGTTCTCCCCCAGTTGCTGAGCCTTCCCTTCCCTTCCAGCTGGTGGTTTTCCTGCCAGCCCTGTGCCGCAAGATGGGGGTCCCCTACTGCATCATCAAGGGCAAAGCCAGGCTGGGCAGGCTGGTCCACAGGAAGACCTGCACCTCCGTGGCCTTCACCCAGGTTAACCCGTAAGTGTTCTGGAGCTCACTTGATTTGTCTTGTGGAGAAAGCAAACTGCCCTAAACAGGCTCTAGGCAGGTGGGTAGCAAACTTGGGTTTGTCTGAAATGGTAAAATGTAAATGCCACCTCTGTAGTGTCTGATAAAAATGTCTCTATCAAATCCTGAAGGTGCAGATGATTTTGGTTTACTAAAAGGATGATTGTTCTAAAATCCAAGCAGTGCAGATTGAGTGTTAACCCTTTGTAAGTGATGCTTTGCTTAACCTGGAAAATTGGGTTGTCAGTAGAGGCTCTCAAATTCTATGGCAGAATATTTATTGAAAATGTTCAATCAAGGCTCTAAAGGAACTAAAACTGTCATCAACAGGGAGGATAAGGGAGCCCTTGCAAAGCTGGTGGAGGCTGTGAAGACCAACTACAATGACAGATATGATGAGGTAAGATTCTGTGTGCTGCTGGCCTTGTCTTTGTACACTGTTAAAATTCCCAGAAGGGAGAAATGGGACATGGTGACATCAGTTTATACCTCGGTGTGTTACACCTACACTGCTTACAGTGTACCCAGATTCTTTACCTGAGGATGGGGTAAAATGTGAAAGCTGTCACCAGGTTAGAAGTAAACAGCAATCCTAGGGCAAAAATTGTAGAGAGGGCAATACTTTCTGCTACCTAAATTCCATATCCTAAATCCAGGAGTTATGGGATAGCTGAATCCAGCATCCCTCATTGAGAAAGATTTTAAGCTGTTCTCTTTGCTGCCCCAAAATGTGGTGCAGTGCTTGAAATGTGCAGGACTTTGTAGTTGAAGGAGCTTTTCCCCTTGTGCAGAATTGAGTGCCACAGTGACAGATGGATGAGGTCTCTAACCTGCTGTCCCTTCCTTGCAGATCCGTCGTCACTGGGGCGGGAATGTCCTGGGTCCAAAATCGGTGGCTCGCATTGCCAAGCTGGAAAAGGCAAAGGCTAAAGAGCTGGCTACAAAGCTGGGCTGAAGATGTACTGCATTGCACCTTGTTCTCTGTACATAATAAACCCCAGCTGTTTCATGGTCTCTGTTCATGGCAGTGTTCTAGGCAGGGAGTATTTCTGTGCCTTCCATCTGGTGACAGAATAGTGCTGGGCAGAATGGCTGCACAGAGCTGGTTATTTCTTACCTTGGAGTGAGTAACTTTACTCTTGAACACACAGCCCAGCAGCTCAGCTGCACATGGGATTTTGAAGTTGACTGGGCTGGGCTAGTTCTGGCTTTAGGCCTGGCTTGGTTTTGCAAATCTAAATTGGAAATAGCTCTTGATTTCTCCTTACTTAGGACTGGGTTACAGTATGGGTTACACACCGTGGTACAGCCTTCCACACCTGCAGTGCCCCTTGCAGTAAGGGCAGGCTGAAGGGGGAAGAATCAGAAGTTTCCTGAGTGCACACTTGGTCTGTGGCACTGTGGATGGAGGCTACCAAGGCTCCAGCTGTGGCAGTTGCTTGTTTTTGCCAGCCCTCATCTTGCAAAGCCACAGGCTGCCTTCCCCAGCTAGACCTGAGTCTCCACAGTACCCTCTAATTCAGCTTTGCTGCTGTTCCATGTAAGATGCACGATGCAAGTCACAAAGCAAAGACCTGAAGGCCTTTATTTATTCTGCTGCAGCTGCTGTGAGCCATTCCTGACTTCAGGAAGGACTACTTGCTGCAAATAGGCTGACTGACAAAATCCTCTGGATTTGTTTTAAGGAAAAAAAAATGGAGATGTTAAAATGTAGTTTACAACCAACCCCAATAGAAAAATGTATTTTTGTGATTACTATTGAAGTTCAGTGCTCCCAAGCTGCAGCCAAATCACACTGGTGGGAGCTCAGTTCGCAGGATTGCTTCAAGTCTGTTTGCAGCTTGATAACCTGTTTGCTCAAACTGCTCTGGAATTCCAGGTGCTTCAAGTATTTAGGACTGATCAGGCTCCTGTCATCCATAAAAGTCTGCTCTTGACTAGCACGAAGATGTTTCTTCCTTCCCCTCACAGAGGTACCTTCTGTATAAATTTCTTGTACCACAAGAAGGAAGTTGCAGCACACAAGCCGTACCTGTGAGAGAATCACACATTGGCACCTTTGCAGGGTGGACTGGGCCTCCCTAAGACAGCTGCAATAACCAAATCAAACCACCTGGCATAAGCTGTTTAGGTTAAAAATGGTCTTTTGTAGCTCAAGGGCTCCTCCAGAGGAGCACAGGCAGGTCCCCCAGGTGGGCTGGCCCCTTACCAGGTGACAATGAACTGCATGGGCTGGTTCCTTACCAGGTGACAATGTACGCATGTGCTCAGGCTGGTCCCTTACCAGGTGGCAATACTGATGTGCTGGCATTGGTTCCTTACCAGGTGATAATGTACTGATATACTGGTCCCTTACCAGGTGACAATGTACTGCATGTGCTCGTTCCGCAGGCTCACCCTGGTCTGGCCCCCGATGGGTCCCCCTGGGACTGTGCTTTCTGTGGGGACAACACAGCCAAGTTAAATCCTTACCTGCACAGTGGAGCTGCACTGTGTGTAAGAAGGGAAGAAAGTGATCCATCTGGTGGATACCCTGCTCTCCCTCAGGCAGTGGTGGTCCCAAGTTCACAATCCCAGAATGGTTTGGGTTGGAAAGGACATAAAGCTTATCTCATTCTACCCCCTGCCATGGGACAGGGACACCTTCCTCTATCTCAGGTTGCTCCAAGCCCTGTCCAACCTGGCCTGGGACACTTCCAGGGATCCAGGGGCAGCCACAGCTGCTCTGGGCACCCTGTGCAGGGCCTGCCCACTCTCCCAGGAAAGAATTCTTTCCCAATATCCCATCCAACCCTGCCCTCCGGCAGTTTGAAGTCACACCCCTTGTCCCATCTTTGAAGCTCCTGACAAAAGTCCTCCAGCTCTCTCGTAGGCTTCCTGTCACCTTCAACAGAGTGGGCTGGCAGAGTACAGGAAGAGAACTGAGGGGAGAGGGAGGGAGAGTGATGTAAATTGGATGTGGGGCCGGGCCCCTCTGTGACTCACTGAAATCTGCATCGATGAAGATGGGCTCAGCACCGGTCACCTTGGCCATGGCCTCCAGGTCCCGGTAGTGCCAGCGGTTTTGTTCAATGTTGTTTTCAGGCACAAAGGGTTTCCTTTTTTCTGTTAACCTCACCACCCCTGTGAGATTAATCTCATCTTCAATCTGAGGAGCAGTGCAGAAAGAAAAAAGGAATGTTTCAAGATTGATTTCATATTCTGACACATCAAGTCCTGTCAGGAAAATGTGGCACTTGAAGGGTCTGAGCATAAATGAAGTGGCTGTTCCCTGCAGAGGGGTAGTGCTGTAACACAGCAGGGAAAAAAGCAGAACAAGATGAGCTCCTTGTTTGTAAAACATGTTATTTACTTAACAAAAAGGTGGGAATTAAAGGTTTGTTGTCTTTGAAAAGTGCAATGTCTAATTAAATCACCTCCCATGATGCTGAACATAGCTCCTGCCTTTCTGGATTGGTGAGTGGTGCCTCTGGGTAACCAAGGGGCACAAAGTAACACCCCCCCATGGATCCCCCTTACCTGTCCCTTCAGCCTGGTCTCTGGTTTCAGTTTATTCTTGGGCACAAATCCTCGGTTGACTAAAATCGTGACCCTAGAGTTACATAAAGAAGCACTGCTCAGGAGTGGAAGGGAATTTATTCCTGCTGCTGCCTAGAACTAAAGACCAAAGAAAGAAGCAACCCACATGTTGGCTGCCACTTTTGCTGTCACCCAAATGCACATTATAAAGGAATTTAAATACAATTTCATTTGGAGCCTCAGTGATGTCACAGACTGACAGATAGCTTTTAAGGCAGGGAAATACAGGTTGGATATTAGGAAGAAGTTTTTTGTAGAAAGGATGATAAAGTTCTGGAATGGTCTGCCTGAGGAGGTGGTGGAGTCACCATCCCTGGATGTGTTTAAGAAAGACTGGATGTGGAATTGGGTGCTGTTGCAGACATCTTTTCATTAAAATCCTTTCATTAGGATTTTTCTAGCTGAGAAGTTGAGAAGTTTCAGCAACAAAATGTAAACAATGGTTATCTGCTGCTGTGGAATGCAACAGGTGCATCTGTGATTGGCCCATCTTAGATGTTTATAATTAATGGCCAATCAAGGCTGAGCTATCTCAGACAGAGTCCGAGACAGCTAGTTTTTGTTACCATTCTTTTCCTTCCTATTCTATTCTTAGCTAGCCATCTGAGAGGAAACCTTTCCTTCTATTTCTTTTTAGTATAGTTATAATGTAATATATATATTGTAAAATAATAAATCAAGCCTTCTGAACATGGAGTCAACATTCTTGTCTCTTCCCTCACCTGTAGACCCCTGTGACCACTGCCACAGGGTGCCATGGTTTAGTTGAGGTGCTGGGGCTGGACTGGATTTGATGATCTTTAGTGATTCTGTGAGTGACAGATACAAACCCAACCACCAGGATTCAGATTTTCCAAGGAGAAGTGAGTGCTCCCCCAGGGAGCAGGGCCCTCCTGGACTCACCCCAGCTCTGTGCAGTAGAAGGGGGTGATGACGTTGGCTCCATTCTCCGGGTGGGACGAGATCCTGCCGGCCTCGCGCGCCTCGCGCTGGGGGTCCAGCAGGGAGCGGGGCAGCAGGTACAGCTCCTTGGAGTGCTCAAAGCGCCCCCTCACCTGCACAGGTCTGTACTCCAACTCCTTCAGCTCCATGGGGCTGCAAGGAACAAGAAAAAAACAAAATCACGGCTGTGCTAGGTGAGTTCAATCAGGAGATTTTATTGCGGGTTCTCCTTTTCCCTAATGGTTCACTCTGATGGAGCCTGTTGGCAAACAGAGGCAGAACACAAACAGCTCATGGAATGTGGCTTAATGTATTTCAGCTGTCCCAGAGAATCAAATAGAGATGATCAAGAGCATCCAGGGAGAAGTTATTTTCCACAATATCTGCAACCCAGGTATCACAGAGCAGGTGGACTCACTGCCCCTGCATCCAGCCATGGGAAGTGTATCTTTCCCATCCCACACCATGAAATCCAACAACTGAGCCCTTCTGAGAGTTGTGCCAGGTGACCAAGTGGCCTTAAAAATCTCTCTCACATCTGACACAACTGCTCCACATGTCCTGCTGCTGCTCCAAGACTCCCTGGTGCAGTAACAATTCCTTTGGGACACCACAGACACCCAAGTCCTCCTTCCCCAGTGAGATTAAAAATGCCATGAATTACATCCCACATTCTCCTGAACAGAGATTCATCCTTCCCCAAGCATTTAGAGTATCCCACAGGAAAGAACTGACATATCCTTTTACTAAAAATAAATAAATTATCAGGATCTCTTTCTAATTTGCTGGCACATCCCGATTTCCATTGCATCCCTTCATTTTCATGCAGGTCAGTTCAGCACAAGCTCATTAGTGCACAGTCCACATCTAATATTCCCAGTCAGTGCTCTGTAGACAACAAACCATCCCTGTTTCCATACTCTAATGTCAGAGGGATGGGATCTGCTCTGGTTCTTGATGCCAGCTGTGCAATCAAATCTAATTTCCACTTGCGCCGCTGAACCTGGAAATAAACAAACACAAAAGAAACTCCTTAGGGTAGAACAGAGCAATGTGACAACCCCAGCAAGCCTTAAAACCTTGGTCATAATTTTATCATCAGCCCTTGCCTAAATCAGGGTAATTGGAGACATGAATTTAATTTGAGGAAATATTTATACTAAAATAAAAGTGTAAAAAAACAAGGCTTCCTTTAAAGACTTACAAGTGGACACTTGGAAAACAGAAATGTAAAATAACAGCAAATCTTTAACCTGTCTGTTGTCTGAATTAAATCAAACAAATGGAAAAACTTGACAGTCCTCAAGTGCTCATTTTTTGAAAAAATGAAATATTTGTTTGTACCTGCCATGTGCCAAGACCAAACGTGGTCAGAGGGACGAGGAGAAGGCCCCATTTCAGCAAGGCATCCTCTCCAGATTTGCCAGCAGCTGCTGTAGAACTTTGTGGTCTGCAGAACCTCAAACAAACATCTACAGAAAACCAGAATGAGGAACAGGATTCAGAGAAGAGATGCCAAATTCCTGCAGGAAATAGTACATCTTGGTACTAGGGTGAACCAGGGCAGAAGCCCAGAAAAATATTTTCTTACCTTTAGTCTTTTGAACCAGATCAGAACCTTCCTTAGTTAGAGGACATCCAAAAAATGTTCTTCTGATAAAGCACTGTGATGCCTACATAGAATAAGAAAGATCCTTTGTAACGTTGCTGCTTTATAAAGCTTGTATTTAGGTGATATCAGTGATTGATGATTGTGTGAAATATTTTTTTATCCATTGATTTAAGTCTCAAATGCGCAACGCCCTGTGAAACACTATGGGTTAGGCTATAATTTAAATGAAATAAGATAAAATTTCCGTTACAGAGCTGCCTGTAGCAGAGCAAGGAACTTCCATCTATGCTATCAGCAAACACTCAACAGCTTAATCTATTCTTGACAGAAACAATGGCCTACAGGGGATGGGATCAGGGGGCTGAAACAGGGGACAGGAGGAGGGGACACGATGAGGGGACTGGATCGGGAAACGAGAGAAGGGGACTGGATCACGGGACAGGATAATGGGACATGATCAGGGGACAGGATGAGGGAATAGGGTGAAGAGATAGGAGCAAGGGACTGGATCAGGATGAGGGGACAGAATGAGGGAACTGGATCAGGAGACTGGATCAGGGGACAGGACGACTGGGCATGATCAGGGGACAGGATCAGGGAACTGAAACAGGGGACAGGATCAGGAAAAGAGAGAAAGGGACAGGACGAGGGGACAGGATAATGGGACACGATCAGGGGACACGATCAAGGGACGGAATGAAGGACAGGATCAGCGGCTTACCCGTCCCGGCCCCGCTGCCCCGAGGCTCCGCGGGCCCCGCCGTTCCCTCAGCAGCCTGGGCGCCGCTCGCAGCACCAGCGCGGCCATGGCAGCCCCGGCCCGGCCCGGCCCGGCCCCGCTGCCCCCGCCCTGCCCGCGGCCCGGAACGGGAAACGCGGCCGGGCCCGGCCCCTCGCGATGGCGGCGCCGGGTCCGGGCGGCAGCGCGGCCGTGCCGGAGGTGCCCGAGGCGGAGCGGCTGTTCCTGAGGCAGCACCCGCTGCTCAGCCCCGCGGGGCCGGGCAAGGTGCGGCCGTGGGAGGGCTGTGAGGGCTGGGGGGCACCGAGAAGGTCCTGAGGGGATGGGGCCGTGATGGGGACGGCACCGCGTGGTACCCGATGGGCTCGGCCCCAGCCAGCTCCTGCCCCGAGGGGTTTGTCCGGCCCTGTCTGTCCTGCCCTCCCCAGCCCGGGGATGGATGCGGGAAGGGTGATCAGACATTGGAAGGGGCCGCCCAGGGAGGTGGTGGAGTCCCCATGCCTGGAGAAGCACTGGACGTGGCACTCAGTGCCATGGTGTGGTTGACAAGGTGGGGATCGGTCACAGGTTGGACTCGATGATCTCAGAAGTTCTTTTCAGCCGAATGGACTCTGAGATTGAGTGGGACAAACCCCTGGGTTTCCTGACCATTAATGTGTTTTTCAGGTGAGGTGCAAGCTGACAGGACACGAGCTGCCCTGTCGCCTGTCGGAGCTGCAGGCTTACACCAGCGGCAAGAAGTACCAGCGGCTCATAAAGGCAGCCAGGGAGTTCGACTATGGCACGTTTGAGCCCCACATAGTGCCCAGCACGAAGAATTTGTACGTATTCTCCCTCCTGTGTAGTGCTTTATACTTTGTTCAATCTCAGACATAAAGTAATTGGGCTTTACAAAGCTCTTAGGTCTTTATGGATTTGGGGAGACTGGGAAAAGCTTCATAAAGTATTTATCAACTTTGAGTAACTTGCAGTGCTTGTGAGTGAAAAGTTCTGAAGTCATGCACACTTTAACTCTGTTGCTGGTCCTTTCTGTGTCTGTCAGACACCAGCTGTTCTGCAAACTCACCCTCAGACACATCAACAAACTTCCAGAGCACGTCCTGCGTCACGTTCAAGGGAAACGCTACCAGAAGGCCCTGAAAACGTGTAAGTCGCTTTTCTGGAGCTGTACCAGGCAGCATTTCTTTCCTGAGCTGTTGAGATTCTAGTATCTCTGAGGTGGGTGGGACACTTTGTTTAAATTGACAGCAGTGTGTTATTATGTGTCCTCCTCAGCTAGGAAGGAAGGTCTCTGATATAGGGGTTAATTGGCTTCTAGCAAATACCTTGGAACATCCTTCTGTAAGACGATCAGCTGTGAAACTCACCCAGGGAGTGTGATTTGTGTGTCCAGCACAACCTGTGTTAACATCTTCCCTGGTCCATAGTGTCACTGTAGATGTATATTTGGAGCATGCTGGACTTTTGAGTTGCATTTCCAACAAGCTTGAGCTGGGAATGGGAGGACTCAGGGGCTGGGCAGCTGCTCAGTGCTGCCTGACCCTCTCTCTCAGATGAGGAATGCCAGAAGGAAGGAGTGGAGTACGTCCCTGCCTGCCTGAGACAGAAGAAGCAGCGGGCACAGCACCCTGATGACCAAACAAATGGGAGCAAGCAGCCTCACAGGAAAGAGGAGTTTTGGGAGCCAAAATCCAGTGAAGAGGATGGAGAGGACACAGACGACAGCATGAGTGACCTGTACCCACGTGAGTGAGAACCTTGGTGACATCCATGTCCTCAAGGGAGTTGCTTGGTTAGTTGTCTGCTGCTTTCTTTACACTGCTGCTGATGCTGGTGTGCCAGAGGCACCTGACTTCATCCAGTTGAGAGTCCTTGGGTTTTGGAAAAGCTTACCTCCACCAAATAAGAAATAATTGATGCTAATAACGAGTTGGATTGTGCAAGGTGTGAGGGAAGGGATACAAAATCTGCTGGGATTTGCTGTTTTAAGAATCTCCACTTTCCACGTTTCTCGGCAAATCTTTGACAGAAGGTGGTCAGGGTGTTCTCCTGACTTAGATGTGGAGGTGCCAATCCATCTTGTAACACATGGCACCACCTGTGCTGACATTCCCAGAATGGGAACAGAAAGAGCACCATGGCACATTTCCAATAAACACCAGCATGTTTATTTCCCAAGTATTTCAGTAGTGACACGTGGTGACTGGAAGCAGCTTTAAAGCAAAGTGAGGGGAGGCAGAGCCTGTGTGCACAGGGAACTGATTTTGAGCTGAATCTTTTTTAGCTGCACTCTTCACCGAAAAAAACCCAGCAGCTGCAGAGAGCACAAAGGGCAGCGATGACTTTGTGACAGACAGCGAGGACGATGGCACCAAGCAGAACGGAGAGCACGGGGCAAGGAGGGACGGCAGCAGAGCAGCTGGCAAGAGAGGAAAGGTGGGAGTCATCCTCTGCCTGCAGCAGCAGGGGGTGTGGAGCTGGGATGCCAGCCCGTAGGTGTGCCAGCTATTCCTGTCTGGGAACCAGCAGAAGGTGCAAAGCTGCTCAGAATAGATTTTTCCCTGTGTGCCAGACAGCGACTTGCATCCCAAGGTGTGAATTCCTGCCATATTTATGGCAATATTTATCCTGGCTAGGGAGTGAGGGATGTTCCTGCCTGTACAAAGAGCTCATCTAGGGTGGGATCCTGCCCCACAACATCAGAGAAGGAAAGCTGATGTGTGTCCTGTGGGTTCTGTAATTGTTCTTCAAATACACAAAAAATTTAACTGTTTTGTAGTCACAGAGTCCCTCTAGACCATTTTTCTGCCACTGCTTTACTTTATAAATGTGTCAAAGTAGAAAGTGAGGGCTGGATAAAGTTAGGATTCATTGCTGCAGGGAGCCTGTCAGTTTGTACCTAATGAAACCATCAGAAAGGGCTGCTGAGCTGCAGGATCCTGGCTCCATGGGCAGACTTGGGCTCATTCTGGCTGTTGAAGGAGATCACACTCAGTTTCTGTTTAAGCTGTCACAGGCAAGGCTTGATCTGCATGTTGGAAATAAGCTGATTAACTTTTTTTTTTTTTCCCTACAGAAACAGACAGGCCCTTTAAAGAAGAAATTCAAGAGCCATCATCGAAAACCCAAAAACTTCAAGAAAGCAACCAACGGGAAATAAATTTTATGATAAATACCTGGACTGAAGCCTGTTGTGTAACAATTCCAGTGGGAGCACAGGATGAAGTGTCTGCTCATTCCAGTTAACTCTTAAAGGTGTGGAGGGGAATAATGGGGTGGATTTAAGTTGCATTCCAAGAGCTTCAAGCCAGCCCCACACCAAGGGAAGGATGTCTGCTGCAGGCAAGTCCAGAGCTCAGTTTTATACAGAAATCTGGTTTTTCTTAGGCAAGAAAGCAGAGCAGCTCAGCTCAGTTTCTAACAGAAAGCTGATTTTCTTAGGCAAGAAAGCACAGCAGCTCAGCTGAGTTTTTTACAGAAAGCTGATTTTTCTTAGGCAGGAAAGCAGAGCAGCTCAACTCAGTTTTTTACAGAAAGCTGGTTTTTCTTAGGCAGGAAAGCACAGCAGCTCAGCTGAGTTTTTTACAGAAAGCTGGTTTTTCTTGGGCAGGAAAGCACAGGAGCATCACCAGCCACACACGCCAAGTGGATACAAAGATGCCATTGTTTTATTTTGATTGTTTTCAAAAATCAAAACATTTTCAAACACAACTAAGGTACAAAATACAGCATAAAATGAGAATTTATACTTATTTCTTTTTTTTTTTTTTTCCACATAGAAAGCAAAAATATATTCAGAATGAATTCCAGAACACTTTGCAGAGCCAATTGGTAGCTGACATCCTGCTTGTGAGAGCTTCTCAGCCATGGGGAGAGGTCACTGAATTTCTGGGAGATGCACAAGTACAGCAGTGTATGTAGGAAAACCAGAATCTTCTGCATCAGGACTCACAGTTAATAAGTCTGCACGTTGTGCTGCCTAGAAGTATCTGATAATGCCCTCCACCTAACTGTGCCCCTGGAATACTGAAATATTCCTGCTGCAGGGGACAGCAACAGTTCCTTTTCTAGGGTCTTGTGTTGGAAAGGGGACTTGATTTTTGCAGAGGAAACTGGTCAATGTTTCAGACTAGTCTGTCATCCAGCTCCTTAGTTAGACAGGACACAAGGAAGTTGAGAAAGACAAGGGGCTACTTGCAGGAGTAGTTTGTGTCATTTATAAATACTATGAACATCAACAGCAGTTCAGGTATGTGAGAGTGGCTGCCTTGATCAGTCTAGAACCGTTGTAAGACCTGCAGTGGAACAGTGAAACCTCCTGTGCTGCAGATCTGGCACTGAAAGGACCAGTGTGTTCAGCCAGGAAGAGTCAGGAACACAGAACACTGAGGTGAAGATTTGAAGATTTCTCTTGCAAAACTTCCATGAAGAGAAAGCCATCAGTGACCTGACCTTAATGCTGAATTCCCCTCCCATCAATCTGGACATGGGGGTTGGACTAGGTGATCTCCAGAGGTCCCTTCCAACCCTAATTATTAATTATTAGGAGATAGCAACTGGTTTCCTCCAGCAGCAGCAGCACATCTTGCCCTTACAGAGGCTATCATCCCCTTAAGATGATGAAATCACTGGTTTAACTTTCAACAGTGCTCTTCTATTTTGCATTAGTTTTTTCAGCCCAGTTTTCTCTCCTAAAAAGCAACTGTTTAACTGAACTGTCCAGGTGAGTGTCCTTATCAGGAGACCCTGGGGAACAGCTCCCACTGGAGATGTTCAGCTGAATTCCTCCTTGAACAAAGAGGGGAGGCAACAGAGCAAGGAATCAGTGTAATGGCAGGAAGTTGGTAGGGCTCATGCTGTCTAGAATTCCTCCACAATCTAGTGAAACAGGTTCACACCTAGTTGACTAAAAGAGGACACAAAGCCTCCCCTGAGCAGCACTGAGCATGGTCATGGCACAGAGGTCGTGGCACTGAGAAGCCAAACAGGGCCTTCCTCTCCTCACCCTCCTGAGCTCCTCCCAGGGAAGGTTCACCCCTGGCTGCTTCTCCACTGCCCAGGCTTTGTACTCCCATAACCGTTTGCAGAGTTGGGAACTGGGGCCACTTGCACACTTCTTGCACAGCTCAGGGTGCTCTGAGGTGGCAGAGGAGGATTTCTGAGCTCTCTGTCCTGGAGAGCTCAGCAGCCCAGCTCTTCAATCAGCTGGGACTCTTGCAGCCAAGAGACTGACAGAAGTGAATCTAAGAAGCAAAGACTACAGATCAGGAGATTGACTGCTCTCATCTGGCAAGTACTGAGTGCACAGAAAAGGGGAGTTTCTGTAATTCTCAAGACATTTTCACCATTAACCTGCAATTCAAATATGAATTTGGGGTATATATGGATGGAAGCTGGTTAATAGCAGAAAGGAGCTTGTATTAGGGAACCTGCAGCACAACTTGGCTCCCTTCTTGGGAATTCAGGAAGGGCAACTTTTGGGGAAAGAATGTAGAATAAAGAATTCTTTTGGCACAGAATTTTCACAGAATCTAACATTCTGTCTCTTCAGGATTATCTCCCCCACTTCCTTTAAATCTGATTAGCAATACAGGATTCATGATTAACAATACAGGATTTCCCCCTGTTCCCCTCAAGGGCAGAACTGGGACATGTTAGAAAACCCTCTCCCTTTTCTTACCCAGAAAGGAGTACAACTACTTCCAGGGTTTTCTTTTTGCTTTCTGTTCAGGAGCAGGAAAGACCCTTCCCTGCTGAGCAAAAGGGAATTACAGGCCTCTGAGCAGCAAAATAACAGTGATTTTCTATTTTCTGGATTTTCTTTGATGCTGCTTTCCACCTTGATAAGCAATGCTATAACCAGCCATGGAACTCCTTATGCACAAGACAGTTTTGATAAGGGCAAGAAAGGGGATCCACTTTTTTAGTTATAGCTACAACCCAACACCACACTGAATGATCCAGCTGTATCTGCTCACCTTTCTGCAAATTTTAAGACATTGCTGACACTCCAGACAGCAACTGTTTTACTGCAATTCACTGAAGCATCAGCAAAATGCAGGTTTCCTTGGGTTAGTTCCAAATCTAGGAAGTTAGAATAAGCCTAGGCAACATTCCTTGAAGAAATAGGATTTTATCTATTGTATTACTGGTGCCACAGTAAATCAAATTCAAAACATCTGTGCCTTTTATAGGAAGGGGGCATGTACGTGTAAAATGCTGGCAGTTTTTGTTGAATCCATAGAGAATCAGTTCTGGACTTAGTACAGTATGTCCCAAGAAGTGTTGCTATTCCTGTTACCACTCTTTTTTCTTCTCATCCATGGAGACTCCACCAGGACCCAGTGCAACCACGAGGAGGAGCCCTCCAATGACAGACATGGTCTGGAAGAAATCGTATTTGAGGAAGTCGTGCATGGGCTTGTAGGCTGGGACGGTCCAGAAGGCATTGAAGTAGATGTTGATGCCAAAGAGCCAGATGACCAGAGTCAAGGCAGCCAGCTTAGTCTTGAAGCCAATTGCCACCAAGATAATCAGGGCTGTGCCCACAATGTTCTGCAGAATCTGCAAGGAAAAAAGCCATGAAAAAAGCCATTTACTCATACTGTTCTTAAATAGTTACACCAAAAATCAAAATAAAATAAAAACAGATACACCAGAGCAGAGTTTTTAAATAGATGCAGAGCTTGGATAAGTTCAGTTGTCATGGCACAGGTAACCTAATATTATTTTCTGAAGTATTAATTTTTGTCACTGACATCTTTTAAGAAAAATCCTTTTGCTAGGATCCTTTCTCCTGAGAAGCTGAGAGGCCTTAGAAACAAAATGTAAACAATAATTATCTGCTGCTGTGGAATGCAACAGGTGCATCTGGGATTGGTCTCATGTGGTTGTTTTTAATTAATGGCCAATCACAGTCAGCTGGCTCAGACTCTCTGATCAGTCACAAGATTTTATTCTCATTCCTTTCTATTCCTTTCAAGCCTTCTCATGAAATCCTTTTTTCTATTCTTTTAGTATAGTTTTAATATACCATTTTCTTTTAATATAATATATACCATAAAATAATAAATCAGCCTTCTGAAACATGGAGTCAAGATTTTCATATGTTCCTTCATCCTGGAACCCCTGCAAACACCACCACAAATTTTACTTAGAGATTTCAATTGAGCAGATCCTGCAGCCCACCTGGGCACTGGTGCTACATTCTAGTTGCTCAATTCATACTTTAATACCGAAATACTTACAGAAAAGAAGTTCATGTCAAAGTGTAGCAGTGTCATGAACATGAGGACGAGCAGCACACGCCCCCCCAGCTGCATGTACTGTTTTGGGGAGCTCTCCCTCATGGTGGGGACACCAGCAAACATGCTCTTCCCCTCCGAGCGGGACTCAGCCAGAAGCAGCAGCAAGCCTCCCCCAAGGGCAAGATTCCTACACAAATGGGGAAAAAGGAAGAAAAAAAAAAGCAGTTTAGTACAGCTTGCACTGATCTATATCTGCAAAGTCTTATCTGACAATTTCAGTGAGATAATGTGAGAGTGAGGAGTGACTTGCTGTGCACTGTGGGATGTGTTGGTCTGTGTTAGACTTTCCAGCCCCAGCAGCACTGAGCACAGCCAGCATTTGTGGGAACACAGCCTGCCAGGGAAGTCCAGCACCCACCACCCAGGCACAGTTGCTTCAGGGGCTGTTACAACACAAATTTCGTTGTGTTTGAGTTATTCTGTACCTCAGGTTTAGCCATATATGCCAAAGTAGTTCAGAGGTTGCTTTGAGAAAACAGAGCAGCAGCACTGCTGGGAAGTTACACATTGACAGGGCTGTAGTAAGCCCAGAGTGCAGCTCCTGTGCTGGCCTCCCCTCACAGGGGTGCAAAGGCAACAGCCAGCCATCACTCAGGGCCTGACAGGAAAGCTCATGTTTAGAATCTTGTCTTCTCCTTAGGGAAGGTGTTAAGAGGTTTAAAATCCCAGAAACCGCTCCAGTGACCACGTGCTGAAGTTTTCACAGAAAATGGCTTCAGTCATGCAGAAGCAGAGTTGCTATTTTAGCCATTTAGGAAATAAAAGCAACTCTGATCAAGTGTAAACAGTTGGTTGAGATCTCAGCCAGGTTAGCAGCAGAAGCACTTGGATCCTAGAGGGTTAGGATTAGTCTTTCCCTTCCTGAGCCTGCTGCCTACTATTTAAACACCCTGATTTTTTCAGGAGCTATCATTTCTTCTTCAATGTAAATGGATCACTTGTAAAATCTTTCTAATAAATATTATGTACAAATGTCACTTCCTCTGCCCCCAATTGTCAGTTTTCATTCTGTTTCCATAAAAACTTCCAGAAGCAGGCATACCTCATCAAGAACTTCAGGTCCCATAGAATGCTGTATGCAATAGTCTAGGCAAAGAATAAAACAGGTTAAAACACCATATAAATGACACTGAAGTACTGAATTTCTGTAAATCTCAAGTCTGTATCAGCAACAGCACAATTTGATTATAAATACAATACAGTGAGGGAAACAAGGTAATTACATCAGTGTGGTAATGAGTCTATGTAATACAGGGAAGGGAAGGCAGAATTTGATTTGTGCTTTAGGACCCCCAAAATTCCCTGGTTTTTAGGGGAAGGATGCTACTAGATAGGATCCTTTGTGATAGGAACACAGCTAAAGGCCAAAGCAACTGCAAATTCCACATCTGGCTCATTAAGTGACATCCAGGTAAATTGCCAGTTACTTCTGCTAAATTGGTCAAGGTCAAGTATTGAATGAATGTCTCCAAGCTGACTAATTGCAATTACATTATTGGGCACATCAGGAGAACAGAAGCAGCAAAATAGTTCAATGCCATCAAGGACTGGCACTAAGCCAGGCTGGAGAAAAATTCCAGGGTTGCAAGTTATATTTAAACATTTGGGAGTATTGGGGCTAAGAGAGATTTGAAAGGTACAGTTTAGAAGGGATGAAGATTTAAGCCTCCTACCTGTAATGCTATAATTCCAAACAGTCCAAAGCAGGCATATTGCACAAAGTTCCTACTCAGCACCAGGATACAGCCACCTGAGGTGGGGAAATTGAACACAGTTACACTTGGAAAAGCTCCTGCAGGAATGCTAACTTGGATTTTCCTTTTTCTTTTGTGAGATAACTGTTAGGGCCATCATGCTTTTTATTCCTTGTCCTTAAAAGGATAAAACCCAAAACCTTTCTCAAAACTTCCATCAGAAAGCACCAACAGCTTTTGTCACTTTAACTGGCAACTGCATTAAATTAAGGTGACTCTACAAAAAATAGTGAGGGCAAAAAATCTAAATCAAGACAAGAAATTGGCAATCAGGAACAGTAAATCAGGGGCATAATATAAACAGAGCAGGATTTTTCCTCTCTCCTGAAGGAAAGGCTGTTCTGACAGCCTGAACCTACCCAGCAGTGCACTCCTTCTGGGATTATTTTGATTCCTGGGTTTTGGAAAAATTTCCGACACAAGCACCTCACTCAGGCTTAAATGCACCCAGGGTAAGATTTTGCCTTGGAGATGAATGCCCATAAAAACAGGAGGCTGAGAAAGCCTCAACATTGCCCTGTTTAAAAGAACAGGAATATTTAATTTGGAGCACTCTGGGTGTGGCTTACATGGATGCATGTACAGAACTGAAACCAGATTGACCTGATGGATTCTTGGCATCTGTGACTCAGAGGCAGCGTGTCACAAGAAGCTCTCTATGACTGCTTCCAGGAAAGGCTGAAGCAAGTCAATTCAGAGCTCTTTCCAATTCACTCAGCCCATGTAGTACTATCATTTCTGAGCTGTCACGAGCTATCAGGAAATCAGTGAGGAATCCCACACTGCCATGATTAACAGCCCCAGAGGCACTTACTCAGCTGCCCAAAGAGGTTGAGGATCACAAAGATGGGAGGCCAGGATGTAGCTACAGTTCCAGCCCCAGAGGCACTTAGCTGCCCAAAGAGGTTGAGGATGACAAAGATGGAGGCCAGGATGTAGCTACAGTTCCAGCCCCAGAGTCACTTACTCAGCTGCCCAAAGAGGTTCAGGATGACAAAGATGGAGGCCAGGAAGTAGCCACAGTTCCACGTGCCATCGATGTAGTCCCTCTGCTCACTCCACTGGAACCACATGCGGATGCCATCCTCCAGGAAGGTGCTGATCAGGCACAGCCGGGCCACGTGGGGCAGGTACTGCTTGGTCACCCTCAGGAACTGCAGGGACACACAGGGCATTAGCAGGGAAGGCAGGGGAAGGGACACTGCAGGGATAACACAGCCCTGCTCTCTGCACACTGACATCAGCAGTTCTCATGCACTCAGGGTCACCGACATCCAGAGAGAAACTGGGACTTGGATTTAATGAAATGCTTCTTCACACACAGCAGGGGAAACCTGCTGGCATTCTCCACTGGACTAGGAGTTGGAAAAAAAGCAGAATCCAGCAGCACATTTCTGTGTAACAGGAACTGTGCTTTGATGGAGCTCACACTAATGAAGGCTGACCTTGGTTTTAGTTTCTCTATCTCAGGGTTTCACGTTACAGCTCAGCTATCAGATAGCCCAGAGCTGAAAGGGCAATCCTGCTCCCACCCCTGTGCTCAGGCACTCAGCACCCTGAACAACCCAGATTTAGGGAGCCAGGTTGAGAGAAGACAAATTCTGTACAAATTAAAAAAAAAAAGAACTAAATTATTTGCCAAACTCCCTCCAACAGCTCAGTGCAAACAAAGCACATGTACTTCAGCAGCAGCAGATCTTAGCTCCACACAACCCCTGCATGGAACTGCACTGTCTGTCCTCTGGGCAGGTTTTCACTTCCATTCAAAGGAGCATCCTCTGCAGAAAGGAAACAGAGGTTTACAGCCACAGTTCAGTGCAGTGGTTAAAAGGAAATGATATCATCATGCAACAGATGCTGAGCTTCAGTTTTTGGGAATGGAAGATGTATCTGGGCCCCCTTCATCTTGCAGGCTCCTGGATCAGTTTTCTCTGTAATTACAACAATTAAAGGAACAAACACAAAATTGCCAGAGTCTAAAGGGTTGTGTTCTATAGGGCTGTGGGGTGCACAGGAAAGCTTACTGCCTCTGGGTAAGGACAAGTGTGTAATTGCCAACCCATTTTCCAGGCAGCACTGGTTATTACTTAATTGAGACTTCCAGCAGGAAGGAGACAAAAGCCACTTCTGACAGTTTATTCCTGCCAGCAGCAATCAATCAGTCAATACTAAAAGCTATGCAAATGACAAGCCTAGCTCACTGTGCAATTACAGATTATCACAAGCAAAAAAAAAATCAGCAAACATCCTTAATGATCAATTAAATAGTTAATATTGGAACAAACTGCACTGTTGTACTACCTGTATCCAGAGTCTAAGGGTCAAAATTCACCTTAATCAAGAGCATTTTAAGTGCAGCTGTACTCTGCCTCCTGAAGGCTGCCACTTCAGGCTTTTTTTAAGCCATGTCAACAGTCGGATGAATGAGTCAGAAGAGAATTTCTGATCTTTGTCACTCACTGAATGAGACACACATGTTGGTTTACAGCTTTCCTCCCTCCTGGGTTTCACTGAGAGGTCGAGGAAACTTGCTGAGGAATACTAAGAGTAAAGTTCTTACAAACCAGAAGTCGTTTGTAAGATACAGAACAAAAACTTTGGTCTAGAAAGAAATGAAAGAAGACAAGTGCTGGGGATCTGTAAGGAAAGGATAAAAACAGTGCTGAAAGGCTGAAAAAAGCAGCAAAGAGACAACATCTTCCTCCAGGCCTCATCTTTGCTGTTTTGAAGTGGGAGTTGACCTCATTTTCCCCTTCCCTTGAACCATGAAGAGCACAGGTGAAGGATCCAAGAAGACATTTAACATTTACCTGTTCTCTTGGCACACACAGAGGGAATTTAACACTGGCTATTGAACACGAGTGCACACATCCAATGGGCTCCAGACAAGTCAGAGAAGCTGCAGCCCATGGCAGCTCCAGTGCTAAGCAACCTCAGAGCACACACAGCTCCTGGAGCTGCACTCAAATTAAACCCCTGCACACAGCAAACTCAAATAAAATTCAGAAACAGCCTGTGGGAACAAAAAGCCAAGCCAAAGGAACCAGGAGATCCAGAGAGAAAGGAAAAGAACAACTACAGCACAACTATAGGAAGAGAATGTAATAGGCATCAAGTGATCTCACAATTAGAGGATCTGGGTGTAAATCACTCCAATAATTTAATTAAAGATGGAACAAATGACAAGAAACAGGAGAGCTCCAGCAGTGGGACTCAGTGAACAGCACCAGGCACCCTGGGCCTGGCCCTGCACAGCACCAGCACTGTGAGGCTCAAAAGCTGCACCCTGAGCCCACTTCCTTTCAGATTCACACAGATAAAGTGGCACACATGGGAAAATTGCAGTTTGATATGTGCAACTAAGAAATGGGACCTGAAACACACCCAAATCCAAATCCACTGATGGAGGTGGCAGCAATAAACTCACAACATTAAAAACTACAGGGCTTTTTCTACTCTGGGCTCAACTGCTCCCCACATGTGCTGTCTCCTTGAAAGGGATGAAACATCATGAGAAAAGACAAGAAAATGCTAAATAAAACTATTTTAAAGAAGAAGAGCTGGTTGTGTGCTGGCAGCCAAGTCACTGACATATGCCAGAGGGGCTTTGTGTTGCCACTTCCCCCTCTAATGGGATTAGAAAGGCAAATATAGATTTAAATGCTCCTTTTAGTTTAACAACCAAAGATGTACAAGAAGATCCAGGGATCCCTCAATCAAAGCTCTGCTCAATCCCCCATTTTTCTAAAGGGGGACTGAAATTTTCAAAGCCATAAAGGCCTGACCAAAAGAGAGGCAATAAAATGATTCATTTGGACCCAACCTCCAACAGTTTCCAATTTGCTGAAAGTCCACTCTGTTTTGATAAAAGTGTATAAAGCATGGTACAATTACAGGTATTTCAAGTCCAATAAATGGACATGAGTTGGGAATTTTTGCAGGTATGTTCTGTCCAGGCATAAAGCTTTTTCCTGTGTATTCATGGATCAGGGAAATTCTGATTGTGGTGAGGAACAGCACACTGCTCATCTGTAGAGAAACCCTCCTGAGCTGCACAGCATTATTAGTCTGGAGCTTCTGATAAGGCATATCCCAAAAATCTTGGAAACTTTTAAGGAATTGCTTTGTCCTGGGACACCACTGATCATTCCTGGGAAAGGATGCTCAATCCACAGAGAAAAAAAATCACTTTTACCAGCTTGGATACATTCACTCAAAGAGATCCCACGCCAAAATCATAGGGACAGCAAAACCCATCACATTCATTAGTCCAGTGCCTACAAATACTGTAAAAAACTGGGAATAGCTTTCCCATTTATTTCCAAAGGCAGGAAGAGGGCTCTGACCCACTAGAGCATTGCCAGCAATATTAATTAGGTTCTTAATTGCAGGAAGATTTCTCAATGCTTTTCCCTTCTGTAGTGTGCTTTATAGCAATTCCCTTTTCCAAAAGGCTATTTATTAATGAAACCTTTAAAATGGTACTTTTAGTAATTTATTGCATTTTACTATCATTCTTCATGGGAAAATTTTTCCTCAGCCTAACCAGAACAGGCTACTTGGCTTATAATGATAAACAATCAGTGCATTGCCATGACAAAGTTTTGGAGAATATTTCCAAATTCAGTTTTTTTAATTTAACTGACAAAGTTCAGACTAACAATGAAATGTTTTCTTCTCCCTTCCATTTTCTGCAAAATAGGATATTGAGGACAAGAAATAAAGGGTTCAAACTGAAATGTAAGCTGGAAATTAGGGAGAAATTCCTCCTTGTGAGGATGCCCTGGCACAGGGTGCCCACAGAAGCTGTGGCTGCCCCATCCCTGGCAGTGCCCAAGGCCAGGTTGGACAGGGCTTGGAGCAACTTGGGAGAGTGGAAAATTCATTGCAAGGGGCAGAACAAGATGGGCTTTAAGGTCTCTTCTAACCCAAATGGTTCTGTGTTTCTATATCAGAATTATCTGGGCAAGATGTATCAGCATTTATCTTGGAAAATGAAATAAACTCCCCCAGTCTGGCTGTCCCTGCAGCCCTCTCACTGCTGTGCAATGACTCAATATTCTCCTTGCTTTTTTGTTCAGGAATCTTTTTTTTTTTTTTTTGAACAGCAGAAATGCCAAGCACCCACATTCCTAAGGATTTATTCCTACAGATTATTACAGACACTAGGGAAGTTGCCTGAGATCTGCTCCCTCTTAGGAAGGGATTACAAAGGAGAGACAATCCTAAACACTCTCTGCAGGCCCCAGATATAGCTATTTGCAGTACTTGGTGGCTCCACTGAAGGGGTTGCCAAGTAATACTTTAACAAAATCACTAAAAATCAGCTTAATTTCTGAGGATGTAAATTATTGAGTTAGTAACACTGCTGTTAGTGTTCCCTCACTGCAATTCTTCCCAGCTCAGAGCAGCCTATTAACACAATCTCACCCCCAGTATTGCCTCACTTCTCCTGAACATGGAGATAACTGAACCAAGTGGGGGAAAAAATCCTCAAATTTTTCTCCTGCCAGTTCAGCTCCCCAGTTCAATGAGAAAAGTGCTGGTGAGAGAGAAAAGGGGAATGCAGCCTTGGGAGAAGTAGGACAAGCCCTTTCACTGACAACTTAGCTGCCTGTGAGAGTGCACAGCTCACCTCTGGATTAAAGACACTCACTGCTGAGCATCCTGGCATCTAGGGCATAATTTGGTAATTCAAAGGGAAATTACAGTATCTGAGAAAAACTAAGCTCTGCTGTTTGAATTTAAGGAACAGATTATTCTTGCTTTTGTAAGAGACATTCAGGATTTGCTGATAAGCCATGGAATTAACTCTAACATTCTCCCACAGGGGTTTTATGCTACAGAAATTAAGGCTCATTATGTGTTGAGCACTAGTACAGAGAGTGGAAAAAGCAAGAATTTCACTGAGAATGCATTCAGCTCCCAGCACAGCCATTGTCCAGCCTCCACCAGGGGAGTTTCAACACAATTTCAGTCCAAACATTCCAAGTACTTTTTTTAATCCAAGATGAACTAACAGCTCCTGCAATGCCAAGTGTTAAGTTCACAATATATACCAAAGGTTAGTGTTTAGCAAGTCACTCCTACATTGGTGTGACACTGAGCTTTAGCAGCACAGACAGCCCTGAAAGTTCTGATTGAGCTACCAGGCAGAATTATCACAGCAGTTATTACTCAGAACACCATAAAAATTCTTTTGCAATCTGCTGGTAAGAGGAGCAAAACTCTAAATTCTGCAGCTTAAGGCAAGCCTCATCTTTAAACAGGATGTGGCCAAGCACAAGTGAGTTTGTGCCATTTAAAACTCACTTCAGGAGGAGGCAAACTTAAGCTGGACAAAAGAGCTTTCAGCAGAGTGAAAAAAGGGGTGTTAAGGACATCTAGAAATAACCCCACAGGAATAAATAGAGAGGTGTTATAAAAAGGTCAGGACAAGCGTTGCAAATTTTGGCAAGAAACGTGAACACTGCAGCGATGGTTTATTTCTTCTCTAAAGGAGCAAGAGGACAAGGTAAACAGAGAATGACCAAGGTAATCCAGATATTCCTTAAACTGAATATTCCACACATGACAAAAAGCTTTAATCTAAAACTCTAAATGGAGTTTTCCTTCTTCCATCCGGGGGTGGGGAGGAAGTGCAGAACAGGTTTTCCCAGTGAAATCAGTGAAAGACAGAGGCAGCACAGCCCCCTCAGAGCTGTGACGTGTTATCGTGCACCACACAACTCACACTAAATCACAGTGGTTGTAGAACCAGGCAGAATCAGATTTTCCAGCCAATTTGCTGAATATGATTACTTGCTGCTTCTCATTGTCGATTAGATGAATCACCATGACTGTGAAGATCTTTGCAACACCATCCCCAGCAGAGCAACTACTTACACTCAAAATAATCCTGTTGTCAGACATTGTAAGAGATCACAAACTTCTATTTAACAGAGAAATCACTCGGGCCTCCACTGAAATAAACGTAAGAAGGTTTACAAGACAACATCAGCTTGTTCGCTTTCCTTTTGCCCCAATCCTGAGCACAGCACCACGGTGCTGACCAACCTTTTCCAGTGTGGGCTTCCAGAAATACATCAGGATTTCATGAAATCACACAATGGTTTGGGTTGGAAAGACCCTAAAGTAAATTTTGTTCCAAACCTCGGACGTGGGCAGGGACACCTTCCACTAACCCAGGTTGCTCCAAGCCCTGTCCAGCCTGGCCTTGAACTCTTCCAGGGATCCAGGGGCAGCCACAGCTTCTCTGGCAGCCTGTACCCACCCTCACAGGGAGGAATTCGTCCCTAACAACCCCTGTCAGGTTGGATAACCCGGGCACTCTCCCATCCCTGCCAGCTCACACCGCTCCCCCACACCTCTCTGTGCCCTCTCCACCGGCCGGGAGGGCTCCTGCTCTCCTTCCATTTAATCCCTTCCCAGAGAAGGGCTGTCCCCAAGGAGAACGCGGTGTCCGAGGGCAGGGGCGGCCGCTGGGCCCGCGGCGGTGGGAGCCGGGCCCGGGGTACCCTCGGAAACAACTTACAGGAAACTTACAGGAAAGATGGAAACACAAACAGGCAATGAGAAGGCAAAGTAGACCGGTACACATCGAACGAGAGGAAACTTAGGCTGGGTATTGGGAAGGAATTCTCCTCTATGAGGCCGTGGCACAGAGAAGCCGTGGCTGCCCCTGGATCGCTGGCAGTGCCCAAGGCCAGGCTGGACCGTGCTTGGAGCAGCCTGAGCCAGGGGAAGGTGTCCCTGCCCATGGCAGGGGCTGAACGAGACGATCTTTAGGATCCCTTCCAGCCCAAACCACTGCACGGCTCCATAATTCCATACCCCCACCGCCCCGCCGCAGCGCGGCCCAGAGGCGGCAGCGACCCCGCCGCCATCCCGGCCTGCCTCGGCCGGGCCCCTCAGCGTGGCCCCACCGCACAAAGGCCGCCGGGCGGGCCCGGAGTGGGGGGAGGCGAGCGGGCACGCACCTGGTCGGCGAAGTCCTCGGCGGTGTTCATAATGTCGTTGTGGCCCATGGCGGGGCCCGGGCTGGCTCGGGGCGGGCGGGGCGGTGGCGGGGCCGGGCCGCGCTCGGTGCAGGCGCTGCCACGTCGGACGGGCCGGGCCTTGAAGGCGCCGCCGCGCCGGCGCGCGGGGGGCGGGGCCTCCGCGCTGGGACACGCCCCTAAGACACGCCCCTCAGCGCTATTAAAGGGGCCGCGCCCCCACCACACTCCTGTGGGGGTCTCATGTCCCCAGGGCCGCTGCCCCGCGGTCCTGGGTGGGAGGCCGGGCTGTGCCCCCGCCATGGAAAAATATGAGGTGCTGCCCTCAGTCTACCCGGCAATAAGCAGCATTGTTGGGTGTCGGTGGTGCTGGAGGGGTCTGTGTGGGATACAAGGCCCTCAGGGGGGGCTGTGACCAGGGCAGGGGCTGTGGGTGCCTTTGGGGGACATGGTGAGGGTAGCTCTGACTGGTTAAAGTGGCTCTGGAGGGGTTTATGAGGGGTCTGTGACCAGGGCAGGTGCTATGAGTGACCTTGGGGACGTGGTATGAGTGGCCCTGAGTGGGTAAAGTGGCACTAGAGGTGTTCATGAGGGGTCTGTGACCAGGGTGCCCTTGGGGACATGGTGTGGGTGGCTCTGAGTGGGTAAAGTGACACTGGAGGGGTTTATGAGGGGTCTGTGACCAGGACAGGCACTGTGGGTGGCCTTGGGGACCTGGTGAGGGTGGCTCTGAGTAGATCAAGTTACACTAGAGGGGTTTTGAGGGGTCCATGGCCCTGGGGATGGTGTGGGGACCCCTGAGAGCAGCACACAAGCAAAGGACATAGAGCAGCTCAGGGGGGTTCCATGGTCCTGGAGGGGGTTTGGGGGTGTTTTCAGCCCAGGGAATGCCCTGAAGGGGAGGGAAGGGAAGGTCAGTGTTCCTCCCAGCAGCTGAGTGAAGGTGGTGAGAGTGTCCCAAGGCCAGTGTTCCTCTCAGGGGCTGGATGAAGGTGGGGGTGTCCCAAGGCCTGTGTCTCTCTCAGGAGCTGGGGTGAAGGTGGATGTGTCCCCAGTCCTACCCTGGGGAGCTGCAGGTGTTTTCTGTGTGGAAGGTTTCTATGGAATGGGGTTTTTTTGCCTCGGTTGTTCTGCCCTAGCTGAGCAGGTGCTCTGGGTGTGCCCTGTGCAGGTGCTGGAGCAGCTCCAGCCCGGGGCACTGGGCACGGTGCTGGTGGCTCAGCTGAGAACAGAGCAGGCTGCCCAGAAGAAATATGCAATAAAGCAGGTGAGCAGGTGGTTGCTATGAAAACAAGTGTGTGGAATGTTTGTTGTCTCCAGGGGCACCAGGATAATAGCAAGAGACCCATGCTGGGCAGCTGAGCTGCTGGATAAGAGCAGGCTTGCCTGTTATAGTGCTGCTTTTTGGGAAAATGGGAGATTCAGATCAGTTTAGGGGAATGTTGAGGCTCAAAGTGGGGAAAGGGCATCAGCCTAGTGAGGTCCCCTCAGTGCTCTCACCTCAGCTCAGTGCAGAAACACTGTCACACAGCTTTGTTTTACCCAACTCCTGACACCAAAACTGCCCCAAACATGAGAGATTTGACCTATCATTGAAAATTGATGTAATTTGCACCTTGCTAAGAGTGTTCTGGATTGTTCCTTGCTGCTTCTGTTACAGTCTCAGCCCTGTCTTTTGTTTGGTGCAGGTTGAATGCATTGACCAACACCAAGCAAATGTGGCCTTGAAGGAGGTATTGGTGCAGTCTTTTCTTTACTACTTCACTTACAAAGACCAAAGTCTTGGTAGAACCAAGTCTTTTATCTGCAAGGATTAGCTGAGTAAATAAGTAAATCAGGTAGGACTATTTGTGGGGTGTGCTCTCTGCCCTCTGCTTGGGCTCAGGCCAGGGTTTTGTATTAATTGTTGTTATTTATGGATATGTAAATTCAAATGGACAGCTCTTCTCAGAGGATAGTTCCTTCTCAGGCTTTTTGTTTTGTGAAGCCAAAGGACAAAACTCATCATTTTGGCCTTTAAACTGAAGGAGAACCTTGATCTGTTTATAGTTTATTATTAATAACTTGATGTCTAGATAACATATTTCATTATATGCTCATTTCTCAGAGTTGAACATTTTTATTGTGAATGATTTTCTCCCTTTGTTGTACTCTTTTTTTTTTTTTTCTGGTGCAAACTTTGTCATAATGCCTTGAGTAAGAAGCATCAGAAATACTCTTAAAAGACCAAAAATAGTTTCAATAAAATAGTGGAATAGCACATGATGGATGAATCTCCCAGTGCCCAGTGTGCATGACATCTGGAGTTGGAAAAGAAGAAAAATAAATGTCTCTGCAGATATTTTATCCTGGTCAGACCTTTCTGACCTCTTTCTGTTCCAAATATTGCATTACCAGTAAAACTTATTCCAATTTTTCTATTGAAAGAAATATTGAATTACATCTATTAAAATAAATGTAGTTGTTACATTTGGGAGCCTGGCTCTTTTCAGCTTTTTATTTTGTGCCTGCACAGCCACAAACACAACTACAGGAGAGTAACCTGAATTCTTTTTATCTTCCACATAATCAGCAAATTTGCTGAAGTGGTGAGGATTTGTTAGAGCCCTGCACAGAAACCACCTTCCAGGAGATAAAAATCTCTCCTGCCATTGTATTTGCTGAGGTTCAAGCTTGCACGGAGCTTACAGGAAATAATGGCTGCACTTGAAAAATCAGCCTGACTTCGATTCTAAGAAATGTTTTCAGGTTAGGATGTTAGGAACTGAAGAAGGGGGTGGTTCACACATCATCTCCCTGTGGATCAGTTTATATCTCTGAATCTCACAAGGCTGTTGCAGCACTGGGTGAAATATTTTCCTTCTTTCCACATTTGTGTATGCAAATATTTAACAGAGCTGGCACTTTGGAAGAGTTGGATCCGAAATGTGGCATGAACAAGTGAGGAACTGGCTTTGGGTGTTATTTAAGGTCCTGTTAAAGGGAAGGGCTGTGTAGCTATAGAAATCTGTCTCTATTTTATCTTTTTCTGTGCAGGCAAAGGATTTGCTAAAACTCTGCCATGTTAACATCTGCACTTACAAAGAATTGTTCCTGACTTGGAACAGTGAGGTGAGAATGGAACAGGATTAGTTAAACTGGAATGTGTGGTTTGTGTTCTAGGCACAGGAGCCTGTTCACAGATTTAAATTTGGGGTCATTGGGGTGAGATGCTAAAAAAGAAGGGGTTTTGATTTGAAAAAATCCTGATTTTTTTTCTTTTTTTGGCTCCTGAATACACACACTAAAAAGCTGTGCATATGTATGGATTGGAGTCCATCACATGGCAGACTCCAGATTCTGATGGCAATTAGTGTGCAATTCTGATTTTCATGCCTGCATAGAAACCATTCTATAGGGGACACAAGAAGCTGAAAACCCTGACTTTATTGGCAGATTTTCTTCAATGCTTGGACAGAACCTTTGATGATTTTTTTGGATGTATAATTGATTTGAATCATCCTATACAGCTTCAGATAAGATGCTTGAGAGTGGTGGTTTGTTTTATTTGCTAAAACAATGAGCATGCTGTATTTTTAATGAAAGAAATTAAATATTGTCTCTTCTGGGAGAGAATAATCATCTCAGAACCCTTTTTTTTTTGTACTGTGAACATCACACCCACCAGCTTGGTTTTGTCTCTGTTACCTGCAAACAATTCAGCAATTTTGGTGCAATGTTTTATTGCAGGTCTCATCTCTGTTCCTCTGCCTGGTAATGCAGCACTCAGGCCAAGGAGATCTCTCAGCTCTAATCAGGGAAAAGAGGGAGAACTCAGAAAAGATATCAACCATGGTAAAAAGTCCAGAGGAGGCACCTGTTTGAACTGAGAGACTTGTTGCTTTTCTGGTATTCCTTCTTTCTGAAAATCCTCCCCAAAGCCTTCAAAGCACAGGAGGGTGGTTTTGGAAGCTCACTTCTGAAAGAGATTTGAAAGTTCCTCAGTTTGTGTTACACTTTCATGTCTGTTTCCCTCCACAGGTGGTTCAGAAGCTCCTGGGACAGATGGTGGATGCTTTGTTTTACATACACAAACAAAATATTTGGCACAGGTGAGCAGAAATCTCATTTTCTTTGTCTGACAGGCTCCTGTTCTTTGCAGTGCTCAGAGCCAGGGAATTTTACTCTTCCAAAAGGAGAAGTAGGGGGTAGAAGTTCCAGATTTTAGATTAGTTTTTTTTTTTACTTCTGAAGTTACCTATTTACTGAGTTTTGTTTGGAATACTCATTTGATTGAGGTATTATCTCCTGGGGTTTTTTTAGTGTTTAAAAAATTGTCCATCTCTTTAAATGCTCACATTTTGGTGGCTGTGATGGACAAAGTTTGTGTATCTGAATAAGAGACAACCCTTGCAATCCATGCTCAGATCAATCTGTGTCCCAAGCACAAATTTTAAAGCATTTAGAGAGGAAAATAATTGTATTTTGGTTGATATATTAAAAAAAAACCCCAAAACACAACAAAACACAAACAAAAAATGTCCAAACCAATTCCCCACCCCCACAAAAGCCCCAAACCAAAACTTCTGAGGGCTAAAGATGCAGGGAATTTGTAATTAAATGTGATTAAACTCTAATTTCACAGGCTGACAGAAATATTTGTGTTGCAGAAATCTGAAGCCATCAAACATCCTGGTGACTGGTGAGCCATCCTTCATGCTGACTGACTTCAGCACTGAAACACTGATGAGTGATGAGCTGAAATGGAAAATCAGAGTGGAAGAAGGTAGATATTTGCTTTGCTATTTTTTCTTTCCTACTGTATTTTTAAAAGGTTTCAGTTGTGGTGAATATTTTTATTCCTCAGAGAGAAATGAGGAAAGAGGAAAAAGTTGTCTTTCCTCTCCTTTCTCTGCTATTTGTCTTCTAAATAGGATTTTCAAAGGCAGCTGTCTGCAGCATTAATTGTGTTCACAAGTGAAAAATGTAGATATGTGTATGAGTTTCTGCAGTCAATACACTTGGAATCCTTTTTAGCTTTGTCCTCAGGAACATCTTAGAGAAATGTTCATTAGTTACAGTGTTTTGTAGTTTTTGGAAGCCCAATGTC